AAATCTAGAGCTATGTGTTTTTCTGCCAGCTTTGCCCAGATGTGATTCATAGCTATGTCAAGAAAAATCTAATAAATCTTTTATTAGGTATGAATTAATATTTTAATTGCAATTTAAGGAGTACAGACAAGATTCTGTTTTCAATGGATTGGAATTTTTTAAATGTCATGCTTCAAGTTAGCAATAACCTTACTCCTTTTTATAATGCCTTTACTCTCAGAACATCTATCATATGAAAATCTAGCCTTATGGGCATCAATGTAGCTGCAAAAAGCTACTGACTTAGCTTTTTAAAAAAATTCTCATTACATTTCTTGAAAGGAATTTATGTCTCAGGGCTGTGTCTGAGATAAACCCCTGGCCTGCATGGGGGAAAATGCACCATTGAGATCTCTACCCACAATGCCTCCTGATTTCCAGGGACCAAAGAGATGAAGCCAGCTCCTCCTGCAAAGCATGGAGGTTTGCATGAAAGGTTGTTGGACTTTCATGCAGAGCTCTCATTTCCTACCAAGTCCACATCACAGTTGCTACATGCAGTGGATAAACCTAAAAATAACCTTAACAGAAGACTTTGAATAATGTTGCTTATTATTTCTGAAAAATGCTCAAAAATAATCTTATGAAATAATCAGAAAAAGAAGAAAAGCTTCCCTCTTTTGCTCAAAATTATGTGACCTGCTGTGTCATTATTAGGGCAAAATTAATTATCCTACAACAGGAAGCAACATTGGTATGTTTGGTTTGTAGTCTTCTGGGTTTTTTTGTTTTTTTTTTTTTTGTTTTTTTTGTATTTATTGCACTTTCGTTGTCATTTAAATCTTTAATTTAATTAATTTTTTGGAGGTAGATTCTTATTCTAATTACCCAGGCTGGCCTCAAACTCATGACCCTTCCCAAGTGCTAGGATTACATTTCTTCCATTGTTTTTTGAAAAGTGTTTCTCCCAGGGTGATTTCCAGTACAGTGTTCACCCTAAAGTCCTCCCAAGTTTTGGAAGCAGAGAAATTGATACCCACATAGTTTTTGAGATGGATAGGAAAAGAATACAGTATGAAACAAAATGTAGATATTTCATGCCAAAAATAGACACATCTCGCTTGTGCTAAATTGCAAGGACTGCTACTGTTCATCCAACCTGTCATCATCATTTCTGGCCTGGACTTCACATACATAACATTCATCCTTTCAGGGCGAAGCAGTATAATCAGTGTTTTCACAAGACTTTGTGGCCACCATTACTGTCTAGCTCTAGGACATTTTCATCCTCCCAAAAGGAACTTCATCCCCATTAGCAGCCACTCTCCCAGGCTTGGAAAGCTCTAGTCTATTTGCTGTCCTGTGGAGTTACGTATCCTGGATATTTAAATGGAATTATACAGTAGGTGAGCCTTAGGATTCTGTCTCTTTTTCTTTGGATTATGTTCTTGAGATTCATCCATGTCGTAATATGTCAGCCATTCATTTTTAGAGCTCTGTATGATCCTCTCACCAGGGCTCCCTGCTTCTCTTGGGGTCTCCCAGAGCTGTTCTCCACGCAAGCTAAAGTGATGTTTTTTAAGTCTGAACCATATCATCTCACTCCTCTACTTAAAACCCTCCCAAAAGCTTCAGAGGGAAAACTTTGAATTCCTTATCTTGGCTTCCAAGACCCTTCAATAATCAAAAACCTACTCTCCTCCCCACATTCTTCTCACAGTACACCTGTGCCAGTTACGCTGACTTCTTTCTGCTCCTTGAGTCTTTCCAGTTTTCTCCTGCCTCAGGGGCTTTGCACTTGAATGTCTCTCTGTCTGGGGCACTCTTCTCTTCACATTTCTCCCCTTGACTGTTTTATGCCTCCCTTATCATCTCCTCAGAGAGGCATGCCTAGATGACCCTGTCACAAGAATATTTCTCTCAACTCTAAGTCACTTTACCTTATTTCCCTACCATAATTTCTTTATAGCATTTATCATTATCAGTAGTTGCCATTTTTTGTTTACTTGTTTCTTAACTGACTCTCTTTGAAAATCTACCAACTTCATCAAGGCAGAGATTTCAACTCAACGGATCACTGCCGTGTCCCAAACTTCTAGAACAGAGCCTAGCAGGATCTCGAATAGTGCGTGAAGGTCTCATGACTGTCCTACCTAGGCCTCCTAACCTTCCAGATCTTGCCTGTACCCTTGGTTCTTGAAGCTGGGGTCTCTTTGCCTATTATTAAACTTCCTTATTGCTAACTACTGCTTGGCTGGATTCCATCTGTGGCTGACTCCCCCGTTCTTTTGACATCTCATTATCATATCCTCCTAAGATTTTCATGAGAGCTCTTCAGTTTTGCTAATCTGCAGTATCAAGACCTAATTGAGTCTTCATTCTTACAGGGTTGTCAGCACAGCAAAGTCCTGCTGCCAGTTTGTAGTAAAAAAAATACAAGATACAATGGGAAGAGGAGTCAGCATGATGGAAAGAGTCACTCTTTCCATCTGGAGCAGAGTAAGCGGAGTGCTTGCTGTGGTGAAGCCCATGCGTACACAAGGTCACCTCAAATGCATGTGAATGTTTATATGCAAATTGGGATGCTTGTCATTAAACTGGCAAGGCTCTGCTGCAGAGACCTGGGATTTAGCTCTTCTTTTTTGTAGGGTGCTTGGAGAAAAGGAGAACTGTGCAATCAGAATCCACTTAGTCATTTGTTCCCAACCTTTGTTCATGGGGAAATAAAGTGTCAATCTGCCCCCACTCACTCATCCATTTTAGTATCCAAAGTCACATGATGGCATGACCTGCAAGTCTCTAAGTCTTCAAAAACACAAACTCATAGTAAAGATAGCAAAGGAGAAGCCATAAACAGGGAGGTGTTTCACCAACAAAGGTTCAAGAATAAATACATAAAGCGTCCCAACAAATCAGTGAGAAAAAGAACTAACAATCCAAAGGGGAATAAATGGGCCAAAGAGATAAATGACCATTTCAGTGAAGTGTATTCACTTATGAAAAGACAGTCTCATTAGTAAACTAGGAATGCAAATTAAATCCACAGTGGAATCTCACATCCACCAGACTGGCAAAGATTTTTGCTTGGATGTGCAGCCATGGAAACTTTGTTTGCTGCCGGTGGGAGTATGAATTGGTATAACATTTTGGAAAACTATTTACAGTAGAATTTAACTAGATCATCCCTTATGCCATAATAATGCTAATCCTAGGTGAATACCTCAGAAAACTTGCACACGAGCGACAAAGCACACAGACAAGTACATTCACAAGCCTTCTTTCACAGACCTGATGGGGGTATAGAAGGCACTGAGTGCTCATGGTATCTCACACTGCACTGGCTGCTGTGACCAGTGACCCTTCAGCACACATGTGGGAGACACTAGGAGGAAAAAGGGAACCAGAGCCATGTTCCCCCTGTCTGCAAACCTCCTCCCCCAATCTTTGGGTCATTCATATTTTTGGGTTACATTCATCCATCCATTCCTATTTTGGGAGTAAATTACAGTGCAAGCAATCTTGAATCAAATGTATTCTGACTCATCTTTGGACTTGAACCAGACCTTTTAATCTGGCCTATCTCACATGCTACCTGTTTATAAAAAAACTTAAAAATAGTAGTCATTACTTTTTCCACCTGATCTGTACCTCTCTCTGTATTTTGGACAGAGGGCGCTATCCTATTGCACCTTGGAATACAGTTATTTGTGCTATTTGGGTTTGGGGTCACTTTTCAAATTCTAATTTCCTTTAGGAAGATCTTACTGCTACTAAATGTTGTATCTCCAAAAGGCCTGCCTTGTTTTTAGTGGGTTACACAATACTTGCCAGACACATTAAAACCCCTGGTATAGGGAGAAGCAATCTTGCAGAATAAAATGGCACGGTTCCCTCACTTGACCCTATCTTTGAGTGGACTGTTTAACCTCTCTAAATGAGAATCTTTTGGCAGGTACTTCTGCAATACCTTATATGTAAAAGGTATTTACAATACCTTTATATAAGACTTTTACATCCCAAAGATACCATGGATGATAAATGAAATATCAAGGCCATGAGTACATGAAGCAAAAATAAAAATGCCTCTTTTAAAAACGTGTATGTGCTTCCTTCCTGCCCTGTCCTCAGCGTTCCAAAAGGCAAAGCCAAATAACATCGGCTTTCCCTTTTCCTGCAGAAGGAAGTTGGAACTGTATCAGTTGGTGTCCTAGAAGAAGCTTCTTCCTGGACCTTTCCACCCGGGAAGTAAAGGAAAGTATGGAGAGGGGTTGGAGGAGGCAGGTCCCGCTGGAAATTTGTAGGAAGAGAAGTTGGTTACCCTAGGCTGGACTATCCATCCAAAGGACAACCGCACCTTCTGCACCTGTTAGAAATGTGTGTGAGGTCAAGCCCAGCAGTCCTTTCACCTTGACTCATCACCACCGTAGAACCCACAGAGTGCACCTGGTGTGCACCTGGCATTGTGCGAGGAACTGGGGACAAATAGGGGATGCAAAAGAGAGGCGCCTTGACAGAGGGTTGTACTCGAGGTACTGCAGAAAGTCTCCCCAGAGGCGGGGTGAAGGATCCCCAGGCCTACGCAAGCCAGACCCTCGCCACCGCTGATATCCGGATCCCAGACTTGGGGCGGCCAGGTTTGCCATCCTCCTGCTCCCACCCTAATCCTCCCAAAGTTGGGATCCGACGCGTGTGTGTAATGCCATTCCCAGATCACGAGTGCGTGGTCCCCTGAGTCAGAAGCTGCAGCCAGGGGAGCTGGTCCGGCTGCGGGGTGAGGCGGGGACGGGCAGCGGGTCCGGGTGACGCGAGGGAGGCCGGGGGCGGCGAGGTGACGCCGTGCCAGCCCACGTGTGCGCGAGATTTAAAAGTTGATGGCGCGTGGGGCGGTCAGCTCTGTGGCCGGACTCAGCGACTGCGCGCGCCAGGGACGCAGAGGCACCGCCAGGGCACCGAGTGGAGGCCCCGCGTGGCGAGGCTCAGGGTCCCCGGTCCCCAGCCCCGAGGCTCCCGCGGGTCCCGGGATGTTACGAACAGCGAGCCGCCTCCCCGGGCCGCACCCGGGCCAGGTGGCCTCCGTGTCCCCACTCCTGCTGCTGCTGCTCGCCTGCTGCGCGGGTGCCTGCCGAGGTAAGACGACCCCGCGCCTCCCTTCACCCATTTTCTCCCGGCTTTTAGGACCTGGTGCTTCCCGGTTCTGGCCCTGTATCCGCCGCAAGTGACCCGCCTCCCTCAGTGCGTTTCTGGCCCTGGCTGAGATCCCCAGGCGCAGGGCTGGCTGTAGGTGATGGAGGCTTGTAGGACCCCTCTCCCCAGTCGGGTTTCCAGCCGAGGCTCAGGGGTAGCGGGAATTAAAGAAGGGAAAATGAAAAAGCGACCTTTCATTGAAGCCATTGGAGGGACGGATGGTTGAAGCAGGAGTTCGATACTGCACTTGCTGAGGCGCGGTGAACTTCAGCGCGCTCGCCCTCTGTCTGTGCCGAGGGAGATGCGTCCCGGTCACGCCATCCGCAGCAGGGGAAAAGCCCGGTTCTAGCCGATCGCGAAGGGGAAAGAGTGGGCTCTGGGTCTTAGAGGTTCCCAGGAACCAGATTGGAAAAGGAGTACACTTTCTCAACACACAGATTTGGAGAAGCCAAGCCGGGCTTCCAGGCGGTGTACAGCTAAAGCCAAGGAAAGCAGATTGATCTGGTAGCATTAGGGATGTCCTGAGCTTGGCTTAGAGGAGAGAAAAAGGGAAAACGAGATCACGGAGAGGGGTCTGCAGCTTCTGAGACGTGGCAGAGCACAGCAGAGGACAGATTGTTTCCCCTTTCTCTAAAAGTTCTGTTGCCAGGTAACCTGGGGGGATTTTCATTCATTCCTAAATTCTAGGGGCCCCTCCAGTGCCAGCCACTGCTCTGCCACCACCCTGAAAATTCTAGGTTGGCCCCAGGTTCTTTGTTTCACTTGTGCTCTCCTGTCAGTCAGCTCAAGATGGGCAGATCAGCCAATTTTCAAAACACTGAAGACTTAAAATCACAAACTGCAGCCACTCAGAGCCCATAGCTCAGCCTTCAAGCAAGCAGGCACAATAGGGGCTGTTATTCTTTTCCTAATCTATTTATTTTTATTGCCCTCATTTCATTGTTTTGATTTCTCCTTTCCTGAGGCACAGGGGTGCAGGGCGGAGGGGCTTCCTTACTTGCAAAGCAAGCTAGCTTGACCTTGAAGTCTAATAGAAGCTCGCAGACTTAACCTTAGAGCCAGGAGTGAGACACCATGACTTATTCGAGGTAAATGTTTACCTTTCTCTATTTTAAATTTGTTATTGGAAAAATTAGGATGATCTCCCTTCTTAAGCAAGTAGATAATTATAGTTTTAAAAATTGCTTTGTTATGTAAAGAGAATGCTGCAAGATTGCAATGCGGGGGTAGGGGTCAGAGAGGCAGCAGCTGGTTTCTAAAAAGATGGATATTAGGTTTTATTTACAAAAGAGCATACCTTTAGGCTGACCAATCATCTCAATAATATTCTCAATATTTTTCAAGCAAAAGGATGGTATTGTCCCTTTCACTACCCAGAGCTCCTCTCGACTGCCTTTTTATGTCTTCATTCCCTCTCAGACCTGCTCTTAATACAAAAAAAAATTCATTTTATTTCTCTTAAAGCAGTGTGGTTGGCCTTAGTCCAAGTCCCTAAAGATGGAGGGGTGGGAGAAGGGAAGGAAAGATGACACACAGAAGCAAAATTTGGAGATAATCCTCCAAGGTCAATTCTTATGCAAATGTAACTGAGTATGTCTAAAAACAAGACAATTGTCACAAAGCCAAAGGGAAAAGAAAGTCTCAATAAATGCAACATCCTTAGGGGGAAAAAAAAAGAATTAGCAAAGCGTAAGATAGCAATGAGATGACAAAGGGGTCACCACAGATTTGGGGGATGGAAATAGTTGATTCAGAGAACATTATGGAAAAAAGGAATTTCCTGTAAGATGAACACAGTTTGGATATCTTCAGCAAACAGTCACTTGATGATGCCTGAGACAATAAGTGAGCAAATGCCCAATACAAATTAAAGAGTGTCTTTTCCTTATGCAGGTCCCTACTTGTTGACTGATTTGTCACATTCAGTCAAAAGTAACAGTTTTTCATTCCCTTTAATTCTGCACTAAAGTGCTAGTAATGAAAAGAGAAAATTGGTACCACTTTTAGAATAATCATATCTGTTTTACTACATAATACTGAAATATAAATGTCCCAATGGTTAAAAAACTGCAGTTTTTGTGATGTTAGAAGATAGTGGCACTGTCTTTGAAAATATGGAAAGCGATCTAAGTTCTACTTTTTGTTAGTATTGTATAAAGCCCACATTCGAAGTGATATGTTGTGAGTGTGTTGTGAGTGTGTCTCCCAAAGTTTCATGGTTTGGCAATACAGAGAGATGGTGAGGCCTAATGGGAAGCGGTTAGGTCATTGGGAGTATTACCCTCAGTAGGGACTAAGTTAGTTCTCGTGGGAGTCTGGTTAGTTCCCAAGAGAGAGGGTTTACATAAAAAGAGCAGACTGGCTCCCTCTTGTGCTCTCTGGCTTCCCCTCTCACCATGTAATCACTTCAGTAAGTGCTCCCATTCACCATGAGGCACTCACCAGAAACTGAATCAATAGGGCCACTTGATGTTGGACTTTTAGCCTCCAGAACTTTGAGCCAAATAAACCTCCTTTCTTTACAAACTACTCAGCCTCAGGTATTTTGTTATAGCAATGGAAAACAGACTAATACACAAAGTATCCTGGGAGGAACATCATATCACTTCTAGCTAACAAGTAAACAAAGGGGAAAAATAATTATCCTTTATGTTTGGGTTCAGTCACAGAATATTAGTTGTTTTTTTTATAAGTTCTGGAAAATATTTCTTACTTTGGCTTCTGTACCCTTCTGATCCTGAGACGATGTTTACATGTTCTGGGAAAGGACCACAAAGTACCTCATTTTGATTTTGTAGAAGTGCTGGACTAAGTTAGGCATAACGGCAAATTCTAAGTGACTCATGTAAGCTTGCATCTTGGAAGGAATCAAACTAATGGTCTTGGCACAGCAGGCTGGCTAACACAGTGCACTTGAGGTGGAAGCTCCAACATTCACTTTGAGGGAGGATCAGGAGTGTAAAACCATACAATTGCGTTTTTTAAACAGAAATGCCCCATCAAACAGAGTCTCATTTCATAAGCTCTCTGGATACTTTATACAGAGATTTGAAAAGTACAGCTTTATCCCTTCCTGAAAACAGAATGGACAAACGAGAACCTTAGAGCTTATGTTGGTGGCAGGGTGAGAAATGTGTCGTTGAGACGTGAATAGTTGTCCTGTGGAAGAAGAGTCAGTGAGGTTCTGAATTTAGTCATCGCTCTACCTGCCATCTGTAAGTTATGTGTAATACTCAGAACCACGGATGGCACTGGGGATGTAGCGCGGGTGTGGAGTGCTTGCCTCGTATGTATAAGGTCCTGGGTTTGAGCCAAAAATCAGATCAATTTTATCACAGAAAAAGTAGTTAATCCCTGTCATTAATATTAGCAGAACTTCAATGAAATAATAGTTAAAAAAGAACTCAAGCCAAGACATGGTGCCAGGAGTAGAATTGGGGGAAATAAAGTTTATTGGGATTTGGAGTCAGCCAGACTTGGTTTGAAATCTGCCTCAAGCTGGGCATGATGGCGCATTGGGAGGCTGAGGCAGGAGATCTTCAGTTTGAGGCCAGCCTGAGCTATATAGGAAGACCCTGTCTCAAAAAAGGTCTGCCTCTACTATCCATCTGTGTAAGTGGCCTTTGGTAAATTACTCAGCCCTTCCTTTCTTCAGTTTCCTTATCTCAAATGGGAATAATCAAGAAGAAGAAGAGGGAAAGGAAGAGGAAGGAGGAGGAGGAGGAGGAACATCCTGAAAGTACATTTAAAATGTTTATCATAGTATTTAGCACCTAGTAAATGCTCAATCAGTGTTAATAGGTGCCATCTTAATACTCTTTTTAAAAAAGTCTCTTCTTGAAAAGGTTAGTCCAAAAAGAATTAATTTAAAAGGTAACACACATGTACAGGAAAGCAATGCAAGTCAACTCCCTGTATAGCTATCCTTATCTCAACTAGCAAAAACCCTTGGTCCTTCCTATTATTGCTTATACTCTCTTTAACAAAATTAGAGATAAGGGCAAAATAGTTTCTGCCTGGTAGTGAGGGGGGTGGGGGGGAGAGGGAGGGGATGGGGTGGTTAAGGGAGGGGGGGAGGAAGGGGGAAAAAATGACCCAAACATTGTATGCACATATGCATAAAAGAAAAAAAAATACAAAAAAGTCTCTTCTTAAGTCTATTTCATAAATATTAATTTTGCTACACTTTTAAATCTTTAAAAAATTATAGTCTAACTACAGGATAGTCTAACTAACAAGATATTTTCTTGTTTTAGTAAAGAAAAATATGTACATATAATCCAATCAATACCATTTCTATTTAAATATTGATCAAAACTGAACTGAGATAACATATAATTTGCATAGCATGAATTAAAAAAATTAAACCCATGGAGAAAATATTATTTTAGAGAATATAAGGTAGGTAATATTTTTATTTCAAGAATAATGATGTCCTAACAAGTAACTCTTTTTAAAAAGGCCTTTATTGTGATATAATTTACATGTCATCAGGTTCACCTGTTTTAAGTTCACAATGGAGTGATATTGTAGTAGACTTTAAAAGTTGTGCCTTTATCACAAGGAGGCAACTTTAGAATGCTTCCGTTAGCCCCCAAGGGTCTGTTATGTCTGTTTGCAGGCAGTGCCCAATCTCATCCCTAGCCCCAGGCACCACGGATCTTTATATCATTACACACTTAACTTTTCTGGGCATTTTGCATAATGGAATTGCATAGTACTTGGTACTTTAAAGCAGCTTGTTTGACTCAGCATAATGTTTGAGAAGTTCATCCGCATTGTGGTGTATATCATTAGTGCATTCCTTTTTATGGCCAAAGAGCATTGCCTTGTGCCAATATACCACAATGTGTCTATTTGTTCACTAGTTGACAGGCATTTGAATTGTCTCTACTTTCAGGTTAGTATGAATATTGCTGCTATGAACACTCAGGTACAAATTTTTATGCAGATATATAAATAATTCATTCTTGGGAGTAATATCTTCACAATATTATCAAGGTTTATTTGGTAATTATATGTTTTATAATAAGTCAAGTGCTGCAAAATCTAGTTGAATTAGTGAGTAGTGATTTACAGTAAAAATGAGAACTAGAATCTGAAAAGGAATTATATATGAATATTTGATTTCAAAGTAAGACTATAAATTTAATATGTGAATATAACTTTATTTTTAGGTGCTCCACTATTACCTCAAGGATTACAGCCTGAACGAGAACTACAACTTTGGAATGAGGTAAATAATTGTTCTCAAAAAAGTACTGAACACTTTATCCTTCTTTGAAATTATCATGGTAAAATAAGATAATATAATTGAGTTTTGGTACAATGATTTTACCAACATTCTGACATCATAGTAGTCAGAAGTGTTATTTTTGTTAAAATAAGAGAGGGAACTACAAAACAAAAGAAATAACATAGTAAACCATAAAATAAAGAAGGCAGAAATAAATCCTAAAATAGAGTAGTTATAATAAATGTGAATGTACTAAAATATACCACTTAAAAGACAGGTATTCTCACACTGACTTTCTGTTGTGGTTTTAAAGCTCAAGAAACAATTATCTGTAACAGCCACACTGAAAATTTGGAGATATAGCTCAGTAGAAGAGTGCCTGTCTAACACATATGAGGTCCTAGGTTCAGTCATCAGCAACATACACACACACACACACACACACACACACACACACACACACACACAGTCACATTTAAAGAAAGAAAAAACACTAAGTACAAAAGGATAGAAATAATAAAGCAAATATAAACTGAAAGAAAACTGAAGTGGCAGTCTTAATAACTGAAAAAGAATAGAATTCAGATGAGCAAAGCATTATAACAGAGAAGTAGGGATCTTAATATTCTTATGGAAAACTAACAGACGAGAGAGTGTGACCATTATAACATATACTAACAATGCAACCACAAATTTTATTTAACAACTGATAGAAATTCAGGGAAAAGTAGATAAAGCAACAGGTATAGTTGGAGATTTTAATACATCTTTCTAAAAAAACTGATAGTTAAAACAGATAACACAAAGGTGGATATCTGGCATATAATTAATAAATTTGAACTATTAGAAATATTTTTATCTAGGATGATGGTTCCTATCTGTAATCCCAGAAGTTGAGAGGCTAAGGCAGGCAGATCTCAAGTTCAAGGCCAGCCTCTGCTATGTAGTGAGACCTTGTCAATAAAAAAAAAAAAGGGAAGGAGGGAAGGTACAGTACTGATGAAAGAATTTCTTTCCTTATATCACTAGCCCGAGGCTGTATACCATCTTACATAATCAACATATCTAAAGCTGAATTCACCATACGGTGTACCTTGCTCTGGAACTCAGATACATAACCTCAATCTAGTTAAGTAAATTTTCTTTTCATATCTTGCTAAGAGTTTTGTTAATGTTGAATAAAATTTGAATTTAATAAAATACTTTGTGCTTTTTTTCCTTTAGTCTCTAGTCATGATGAATTACATTAATAAATTTCTTGCTCTTGAACGAATATGAAAGTTCAGATGATTTTTGGGTATAATATTATTATAAAAGAATCAATAGCATTTCACTAGGAAAAAGCAATATAAAACCATAGTTTAAAATATTATAATTGGCCCTTTGAAGCTATGATTTCCACATCTGCAGACTCAACCAACTGTGGATTGAAAATATTTGGGGAAAAAATTGCATCTGTCAGACTGGAGGCATGGTTCAAGAGGTAGAGCAAGTACAAGGCCATGTTCAAACCCCAGTATGCCAAAAAAAATTTCCATCTTTCCTGAACTTGTACAGACTTTTTCTTGTCATTATTCCCCGAGCAGTACAGTATAACACTACCTGCACAGCATTTACACTGTATTATTTATTATAAATAATCTAGAACTAATTTAAAGTATACAGGAGAATGTGTGTGAATTATATTCAAATATTACACCATTTTATATAAGGGGCTTAAGCATTCATGAATGTTAATATCCTCAGGGACACTGGAACCAATCCCCCACAGATGCCAAGAGACAATTGTGTATTACTCACAATGACAACAAAGTCTTTAACCTAACCAAAAACACACGATAAGTTTATAGGGGAAAAAGTTAAGTTTAAGGAAATAGATAATGTTGTGAATAGTTGGAGAGACATTCTTTCCTGGACGGAACAATTAATTTAATGTAATAAAAATATCAAATCTCACCAAATTAATTAGTGCAAATTCCCATAGAATCAATGCAATTCCAATTAGAGTAAGTTCATTTTGATTTTTTAAGAAACTTCCAAATTTAACCTAAAATTAATAAGGAAAAATAAAAGTCTATAACTAGTTGAGGCCATTTAAAATATAAAGAGCTAAGAGTAGTGAGGACTTGCCTGACTAGACTATCAAGACATACACAAAATTGTGCAATTAATAATTTTAAGAAGTAAAGTAAAGACACAGACAGAGAAATGAACTAATAGAATAGGGGTTAGAGCTTGGAGAACACAACCTTCACCATCAGGATCCTGCTGCGACCCACTGTGTTCGCCATCCCAGGGTACTTCAGACATTCAATATCTAATGGCAAGCCTCCGTGGCTCTGCCTGCCCTGCCTCTGCTGGTGACCTCAAGGGATGATGGAGGGATTTGGTGGAACTATGGAAAAATTTGAAAGAAGACAGTGACAATACCTGAAACTTATAAGAGACTGCTTTTCTAGAATGTCTAAAAATCGCCATCAAAACAAATGGATAAAGATAGGAGTCCAAAATAAAAATAGTCAAAGGATAAGAACAATTACAAAAGAGGAAGCCCAAAAGCCCAACAATCATCTAAAGAGATGCTCAAGTTCATTAGTAACAATAAAATGAAAATTAGGGCAAAAACAAAATGCCACTCTACACCCATTACCCAGGCAAAAAATAGAAATCTAGTTAGTAGTAAATGTTAGTAGGGATATGGGGTATACCAAACCTCGTGCACTGCTGGTAACAGTGTCAACTGATGTGTATGGCCATACTTCCCTGAATACGTCTGATCGCAGATGCTAAGAAATGTAGGGCCTGGGTAGTACTTGGATGGGAGAAGGTCAACTGGAAAGCAACCTAGATATCTTCATGTTCTACCATTCCCTCTCCTGGGAATAGGACCTTAAGATATTCTCTACATGCAGAGGATGTAGCAATCATACAAGGAGGTTGAAAGCAGTTTTGTTTGTAATGGAAAGAATTGGAGAGAACTTGTCTTCCGTCACTGGGAAGTGGATAGGTAATATGTTATTATACACACTCTAGAGTGCCGTACAGCAGTTTGAAGCAACAAACTAGATTTCTGCTCAGCACCATGGATAGATCTCAAAGTAGCTCTTTTTTTTTTTTTTTTTTTGGGGGGGGAGAAAAAAATCACATTTATTAGTTAAGACAACCACAGGCTGGACACGACACACATGCTAAAAAGTGGACTGTCTTTTAAAACTTCAAAAGTAAATAGGTATGTTTTTTCCCACAGCCCCACAATCATTTCCATAAATGTTTACAAATTAAAAGGCCCACATTAAGACATTGACAGTAAAATATGCAATAAATGCTCCAACCTATCCCAAAACCTTCTAGTTTAAAAAAAAAAAATTGACTAACCATGCCATTGAAAACCACTCAGGGACTGGAGGCTGAATCAGTTTTCGATGTTAGCCCTAGAAACCACCATTCCCCTCATTCCAGCCCCCACCCCAAGCATATACTAATTTGGTTTCGGCGTAAACACCAAAGCCTCAGTTTAAAAATGAGAATTTAAGTGAGGTGTCCTGAACCTCCCTTGTCCTGGGCAAAACATACACCAAACTTTCTGGGAAGACATTCAGACTTACTTCTAGCCATTACTGAAATACACTATTAGGATTGTGGGCCAAAGTTAAATCTAAAACTATCCCCTGGATCTTTCTAGCATTGAGTTCATGTTTAACTTAATGTGAAGACCTGTACTGTATTCACTGTGCTTTTGGTTATGGCTACCTTCTGATTAACCATTAATTTTTATGAGGTTTTTTTCCCCTTGTATTATGATTAGACCTTACAGTTTGAAGACCTCTAGAATTCCCTGAATTATTGTAGAGACATTCATGACTCCCAGGTCTAACAAGTGCGTGCCCAGGGATGTCTGTGAAGACTACAATCTGCAAATAACCTGCACGAAGTATACTGTGTAAATTGTTAGACTCAAACTTAGCTCTTGGACAAAATCAATAGATCTCAAAGTAGCTCTTAACAACACCTAAGTTGGAAAGAAAAAAAGGAAATACCATATATGCAGACAAAATGGATTTTACAAGAACACATACAAATGGCAGATAATGTTTCAGGAGAAACCAAAGACCATATATTTGGAGGTGATATATTAAGCATTGGTCAAACTTCAGACCTTAAAAGAATATCTTTTTGGCTTTCCCTCTCAACTGACTTCTCTTTTTGTATTTTTTATTTTTCACAAATTCAAGAATAGTTGACCATGGAAGTATGGAATGGGAATAGGAAGTGGAAATATTTAAGTAATAAATGAACAACCAAATAAATTAATGAATTTATTAATAAATTAATAAATTAATGAACATCGCTAATGGCGATGTTGCCCTTTGAACCAAGAAGAATACCCTTTGTGCCGAGGCCACCTTCAACAGAATATGGAAGGGAGAAGTCAAGGTAGATGATAAGTGTTGGGTACTAAACGTTCCTTAATAGTATAGAAATTCATACAGTAGACTGTAAGGGTCCCTGTCTTGGAAGAATATCAAAGTACATGGAAGAAATATAAAAATAAGGTGAAGAGTAACAGAGAGAACAGATATGAATGTAAAATACAGAAGCGGCTTGGAATTGTCTGTTTCTCTGGGCAATCTTTGGGAATATATTTTTAATGTTGAAAGAAACTCAAATAGGGTTGTGGAAACACTAGAAATTATTTTATAGAAAAAGATATTTAGAGAAGTTAGCATGCTAGCTGGTAGTGGTAGACCATACCTACAGTCCCAGCACTTGGGAGGCTCAGGTAGGAGGATGGAGACCAACCTTAGCAAGAACCTGTCTCAAAAAGCAAAACAAAACAAACAAAAAGGGAAGTTATCATGCTAAAAACAAATAGTTAATTTTTCTGCTGGAGATTTTTTAATTTACAGAGCTGCTTGGACACTAAAAAAACATATTTTTCCAACCATATGTGAAGACCTAACCATTTTCAAATAAATTCACCAATGAACTGTATAGAGTTTCCCAAAACACTTAGTGCCACTCGGAACCATTAGAGCCCTGAGCTGAGTAAAATGAACAAATGCTTACCCAAGTGGAAAGGGGATAAACAGTGTTTCTGTACCTTTCAAAGAAATGAGAACAAAGCCTGGAAATTCTTATAGTGACCTCCTAATTAGATTAATTAGGCTTTAAAAAACATCGATGTTTTATCCAAACAGCTTAATGCGCTGGTTAGTTAGCCTGAAGGTTCAAGAGTTCTCTGTTCTCGGACACGGGTCACCTCACATAGATGAGCAGCCTGGTTTATGGGTAGACAATATTCCCCTTGAGCATGTAATGTTTTCAGATACATCTGCACATGAACACCTCAGGAGAAACCACTTCTTATCCTACAAAAGCAAAGACCATATATCTGAAAGTGATATATTAAAGATCGGCCAAAATTCAGAGCTGATAACATCTTTTGGCTTTCCCTCTCAATTGACTTCTGTTTTTATATAGATTTTTAGTTCTCACAAGTTGAATTTAATTAAAGAACTTTTGTTGAACACTTATTCTGGAAACAATTACAACATAGTCCTGACCTCAAGAAGTTTATCACTCTGTATCTTCGTGTGTGTGTGTGTGTGTGTGTGTGTGTGTGTGTATCCTTGTCCCCATGATTCATGGGTTTGCATGGCTTGGAAGAGGGAGCAGGTGGGGAGGCACAAGGAATGAGGGGAACATCCAAATATTCCCAAAATATTTATGATATCCAGAGAAGATGACATTTTTGTGAGGAACAGGAAGAAGACATAAGCTCATGCTTTTCTGTAATGTCTTTATATTTTTGTTATTATCTACCGCCTCAGATATTTTAGGTCACTGCAACTTGGACTCAACAAGGAACTTGAAAGATTATGACATTTGGTACGAGAATACGTATTCAATTAAATGGGGCAATAGAGAATGCTGGGACTGGAAGGGGCTCACTGATGTTATGCCATAAACAGGACTTAACATAAATCATTTCAGACACACAAAAATCAGTGTCATTTTTTTCCAGTCCCATTAAAAAGGCCACCAAAGAAATAAATGCCATGAACAACTCCAGACATCCAGCTTAGTGCTTAACTTCTCAGCAGAGTTTTTTATGATTGATATAAATCTCTCTCTCTCTCTCTCTCTCTCTCTCTCTCTCTCACATACACACACACACACACACACACACACACACACACACACACACCATCTCACCCTCCCAAACCTGGATTACAGGTGTGTACCTCCACACTGGTGTATAAATCTCACTCAACAGTTTAAAGTCTGCACATTTTTCTCTGGGATCAAGGCTGAGAACAGTTGCCGACCATAGTTCCATGAACGTTCATTTTCAGATAGAACTCATCTCTTCTGCTGGTTTCATGGTAGAGAATGAGTGGGTTGCTTATGTTCCAAGTTTTTCCTGCTTGTTCTGTATCATGCACTTGCCATGTTAAGTTAGGTGACATTAGATTCAATCTAATAAGGGATGACAAACCACTGAGAGTCCTGATTAATTTTGAGGCGGTTCTTTGGTAACTTCTCACATATCTCAGGCTGGCTAATACCAGAAGTTCTTGCCATTGATGTTGGAGGCATCTTTATATTCTCTGTTGATCACTATCAATGATTACTGGGGAGGTAGCCCCTGTGGCTGGCCAAATCTCAGTGGCAAGACTTTCTTATAAAGGCTTATAGAGTCCTAAGTCATGGACCTTGAATTGATCTTATGTAGGAACTTGACTTTGTAAACTGACTTTCTGCTTTCTGCTGTTTTTTACCTATTCCCAGGATGTAACTGACACTTTTGTTTTCTACAGATAGATGATGCTTGCTCATCCATTCTGTCTGTTGATTCTCAGCCTCAGGTAATTTCATTTGGACATGTTCTGTGATAGTGTAGGTAATTTTGTAGTGTTTAAAATGCCAATTTCTCCCTTTGGACCATTATGGACTCATTAAGACATGTCAGCATATCAGATGTCCTTACATCACCTGCAGGTAATAATCAGTACTGTGGGCTTAGGTTTTGAAATGCTGGTGCTTGTCTCTCTAAATAAAATAGACTTACAGATACTATACAAGTACTTTGGAAATGATAGAATGTCAAGTTAAAATGCTAATTTCAAAGTCAAATTCAGTGTTAAATTAAAAATACTATGTCTATAGCTATATCTGGGGGCTAATATCCTGTCCTCCAATTGAATTTGAAACTTATTGATTAAATTATGAGTCAGGTTTATGGAAATCAAGGTATCCTCATTATAACTGAAACATCCTTTTGCACTTAGTACCAAATGTCTTTGCCCCCAGAATCAGACTTGCCTGAAAGCTTCTGACAGTGGCACTGGGCCTCCTACCAGTCAGGGTCTCAACCATAGGCAGAAACCAGGTGAGCACAGCTGGCCAGAGCACAGGCCCCTAAGACACAGTGCTGAACAGCACTTGCCCTGTTTTCTTCTCCCAAGTCACCCAGAAGATAGCACACTCCTCCTCCTGTAGGAGCAAAGAGAGGGTTGCATGACAGAGAGGCCAAGAGTGCTAGTCTAGAGCCTCTGCGTGGAATCATGAGGAGAGGGAAGCAAGTGTGTTCTTACACTGTGTCCACTGGATGCTGCAGCTTTGCACAGCAGAGTTAACCTTACCATCTTGACTGTCTCAGGCAGTACCTCCAGGGTCCTGGTCAGAGCCTGCTGTGTGCCTGCTGCATGCTCCCTACCTGGTCTGGGCAAGCCTAGGCTGCCGTTCCCACAGATGGTTGTCCTGGCTGGTGTGGAGAAGCAGCCTCGTGTAGAACTGTATTTCTTCTGTCACAGTCCTTTCCTAGGCCACAGAGGATCCCCTGAAGGAAGTTAGAGGCATTCCATGGTAAAGCATGATTGGGATCACAAGTAGATGAATTTTGGAACAATATTTCAAATTACTTGAGAAGTGTTTCAGATGAACAGCATAAGATGGATTTTAACATGGGAGCTTTTTGGTGTATTTAAAATTCAAAAACATCTTCAGAATCATTTTTATATCTGCAGTATCAGTTGGGTAAATCTGAAAGTGCTCACTCATTAAACTCCCCCAAGATAAACTAACCTTTTATTTGACTTGAGTTCTGTGTACCTTTTAAGAAGAGTTTGTAAATTTACTGTTTGAGTTTTTTACATTTACAATACAAATTGTAAGACACTTTTATACATTTAAAAATCATCATTAGTTTTTACATTAACTTATTTTATTATTTATATGCTTATCTGAACAGGGCTTTAAAACTATTTTCTACTTTGTCAAATAGAAAATAAAGGATAAAGTCCATAAATAAAAATAAAATTCAAAAATTTTATATATGAAATATCTTTAAAGAGTTGTTGAGAATAATGGCTTCTTACAAAGACAAGCTAGAGAAAATGCACTAGAAACTTCTTCAAAGTTCAGTCTGTCTGTACATTTGTGACAGGGTCTCACTATGTAGCCCAGGCTGGCGGTGAACTCACAATCTTCCTGCCTCAGCCTCTGAATGCTGAGACCCCAGGCTTGTGCCACCATGCCCCAAAGTGCACTCTTACTGCCAAGCCTCATCTGGCCTAGATCCTGTTTCCTAAGGAGAAACAGGGTAAATATGTAAACATCTTCTTCAAATTGAGAGACATCTTTGACACATGACAAGAATAAATATTTTCTTTTTCTTGCTTTATATTTTGCAGTATTTCTATGTGGGCCATAAAAGGAGCTTTTAGGGATTTTTACTTGCAGATGTTTATGAAGTTATCTGAAAGGGAGCAAATGGGAAAAGGTGTACCAGTGTTCACACTTTACACTTGATCTCATTCTGTTCTCAACTACATGTGCTGGGGTGTGGCTCAGTGGTAGAGCACTTCCTAGTATGTGTGAGGCCCTGGGTTCCATCCCAGCCAAAAAAAAAAAAAAAAATCAACTTCCAACTATGGGCTTAACAGGTAATGCCAGCTTGGCCTGGGAATACCTACAGATCAGAAGCCCTATCTGCTGCCCTACACTCTGCCAACTACTATCTTGTGTGGTACCAGACAAGTGACAACCTCTTAGGACCTCACTTCCTCTATACAGGAGAATAACAACCCCTCCTGTGTACCTTGCCCTTGTGTTTTAAGACAGAATGTAAATTATGTAAGTGTTTTGTAATATATTGAAACACTACATAAATGAGCAATTTCATATGAATAAATATCCCAACAATTTACATACCAGGGAAACAAATGGAAGGAAGGGAAAAAAGTAGACCTCGGTTGCTAAGAAGGATGCACGAAGACACTGAGGCACAGCGCTGTGACCCTAACTGTGTCTCTAATCACAAACAGCTATGTCAGTTGTGCAACTTCTGATCAGAGGCAGAGAATATTAGTGGCCCCAGACAACCTTTTCACATAGCTTCTAATCAAACCTAATAGGTTTATCTTCCTTTATTCCTCCAAGAACTCCCTGCAGTATCGTCAGCCCTGTTTTCTGGCTGAAGAACCTGGCGTTTAGAAAGCTTAGGTAACTAACCCACAGTTACACAGCTAATAAAGACTAGAAGAAGTGCAATTTGCACTGCTGTAGAATTGCAGGCTGCCCACTTTCACAGCTCGCACTTTGAACCACTAATTTTATTGCCTCCCCCATTGGTCCAGCTCTTCATTACTTCCAAAATGCATTTATTAAACCATCAATTGTTCATGGAATTACAGTACTAGAGCCTGTGCAATACAGGTTTGCCCCTGCTTGTCCATTTGTGCTGCTCCTTACCACACCCAGCTGCCTGTTAACCACAGGAGCCCTGCCCTACTTCTGTGCTCAAATACTTTGACAAACCTGATCCTGGGGTGTGCAGTCAGCAACCTGGAAGGGTGGTACTCAGATTAAGTGAAGCATGCATGGCTCTTGTCTTCCAGCTCCCATTGTCTGGGAGCAATTGCAGGATTTTCAAATTAGCCAATAATGAGTGATATTCGGCGAGGCTCACAGCTTTGGAATGTTGATGTACTTTGCTACAAGCTGAGAAGGACTAATTCCTTTTTGGCACTGCCCTGGTTACTCTTAGTCATAGAGTTTCACGATACCTTAGCAACTGCTGAGAACTCTGTACCACAGTGAAGTCTTAAATCAGTGCATATACATAGTACATAGCTTCATGGATTTTTTTTTTTATTCCTTGTTGGAAGGAACAAGCCAAATTTATGTGATAAGAGAAACCAAGGGATTCCAACAGAGTTTCATGGTCTACAGTCATGCTTCTGTTCTGGGTAGCTGGAATAAATCGTGCTCATGACATCCTAGATTACATCCTCTATGCAGATATCATGCAGGCTAAAGCATGGTTCTTGTACTTTCTTGTTTCCATTAGGCATCCACTGCACTGAGGGAGCTTTGCTTTATGGTGATGGGGATTCCACCAAAGCCTCAGGTAAGGTTCAAATACTGTTTTGTTTGTAGCAAAAAAAAAAATTGTCTAATGTCTTGGAATTCCTCCTGGAAGAATATATGCCCAACTTAGGAAGCATGCCAAGCGGAGTTAGAAGAGGTTACATTTTGTTTTGGATAAGAAACAAATACTTCAGTTTCTCTGATAGTGATGACTTAAGGTCATATTAATGAAGTTTATAATCATTTAATTAGAAGCTCATCTATCTCCCTCATATGTAAAATGTGTTCCAATATGATGGGTGAAATTTGTTGTCATATTCCTCTCCCTGGTTCATATAATTGGAAAACAGATGTATATTTCTAAGCTGTTAAATATATCTTATAGCTTGGAGGTTAGGACATTGTACTTTAATAGACTAGGACATTGAGAATGCAAAAATAAGGCTGAGGTGTAGTTCAATGATAAATCATTTGCTTAGCATGTGTGAGACACACACGCACATGCACACGCACACAGGGAGCAAACCAGCAAACTGTATTGTCAACGTCAGCTTGAAATTATATTCTTGCTTTCATGTCTTTGTTTCTTACTTAAATCATAATGGCATAAACACTACACCTCATTTTCTATTTTGTGTCTTATGGGTGAGCCTATTTTTAAATCACCCTATTAGAGCCTTGGGTTTTGAATTATTTTTCCATTAGCAATTTTATTTTAATTTAATCTATGACCATTGGTTCACTCTAGCTTCCATACTTTCCTCATACAATAATTCAAAGAAAGAAACCATTGTAGTCTGAAAGCATAAATGTTTTCAGAAACTTTAGACTCAACTGTATATTTACCTATTGTTTCTAATGGTAACATTAAAAAACTTAATCACCTTTTTTTCTAATTAAGATAAAAGAAATGACAGTGGTATGTTTATCTGTCATCTTTCTTCAGTATTAAAAGCAAAAGAGAGCTGATGGTGTGGCCAAGTGGTAGTGTCTGCCTAGCAAGCATGAGGCCCTGAGTTCAAACTCAGTACCATCACCAAAAAAAAAAAAAAAAAGCAAACAAGAACAATAAAGAATAACAAAAAAATGATAGGACTCTTTAAAACATAGACTTTGGGGGATTGGGGACATGGCTTAAGAGGTAGGGCATGGGCTTAGCTAAAAAGAAGCCCTAAGTTCAAACCCCAATATCTCCAAAACAAAAACACTAGATTTTCTAGAAGGAAAAAAGAATATAGAAAAGCTTATGGAAGAAAGTAAAAATAACTCAATCTGATTATTTAGTGATAATTACAAATCTATCAATGTGGTTCATTTAGTCTTTTTCTCTGGATATTCCATCATGTGATTATATCATAATTTCCCATTCTACCCCTGAAGATCATTTAGGTTACTTTCTATTTTTCACTCATATAAATAATGTAGTATGTTTCATTGTTCACATCCTTATTTATAAATTGTATTTAATCAGCTTCCCATTTAGAGCAGCAGGTGCTTAACTACTTTTAGTCGTATATTTTACATGTAATGTATTGTGTGTTTTTAAAATTATATAATTTTAAAATATATGATCAATTTAATACTAACATTAAAATTTTATAATATATAACATAATGATATATATCTTTTCAATAGGAGCAAGATGAAAAAGATAACGTTAAAAGGGTAAGGTGACTTTCATATATCCATACATTAAAAATAATAAAGGAAACCACTAAGCTTTTCAAAATAACTCACTGCATTTTTTTTAAATAGTTCTTATTTCATTATTCGAAGACACAGAAGTCGGGCAGTTCAAATGTTGTGGTAAGTTTAGAACTACTTATATATAGAGCTGAGGACTTCAGGAAAGCAACCCTTCGAATACTAACAAAAATGGTAGCGCTGGGCTACCAAGTTTTAGTCCTGTTCTTAGCTTATTCAATACAGTTCTCTTAAGTGCTCACAAAGGGTTGTCATAGATAACATCTTTAATTTCCTTTTTTTGGTCTGGGGCAAGCATAGTGGGTAAAAAAAAAAAAAAAAGGCAAACAGGAAACCATCTTTATGTCCAATGCTGAGAAGCTCTTGTGCTCATCGTGTGTGTTCATGTCCTCTCAGTCGTCTGTTGTGCATCCGTTGCTGCAGCTCCTTCCCCGACTGCATGAGAGAAGGATGAAGAGGTTCAAAGTGGACGTATGTAACACGAACTGCATGCCGGCCTTGTCATCTGTGTGCGCAGCCCTTCCCGCTAATTCCTGGCTATGGTCCTTTATAAAGTACTCTTCTTCAGGATGAGTCACATGCTGGCCTTTTGTGTCAGCTTCCACCACTGTGATGAAATGCCCAAGAAAAACAACTTAAACGATTTAAGATTTATTTTGGCTCATGGTTTCAGAGGTTTCAGTCCATGGTGGCTTGGGCGCCATTTGCTCTGGACCTGTGGCAAAGCAGAAAATCAGGGTGGGGCTTCAGGTTGGAGCAGAGCTTCTTAACTCATGGCACAGGGAGGCAAAGAGGGAGAGAGGAATGGGCTAGGGTTCCAATATCCCTTTCCAGGACACAGCTAGTGACCTCAGTACCTTCCTCTAGGCCCTACCTCCTAAAAGTTCCACCACCTCCCAACAGCACCATAGGCTGCTGACCCAGCTTTCAGCACATCACCTTTGGAGGACATTTCAGATTTAAATCATAACACACTCAACCTGCCAGTGTAACAGCATCCGTGTGCAGAGGTAGTTTCACATTTAGGAAGACAGAATTGTCCAGCCTTTCACTACGCCATGCTCTGTCTCTTTTCACTCAAGCTCTGGACGGAAAGGGAAGTTAGATTAGGCTCCCTTCCTTTCCTCTCCCAGTCAGAAAACTTGTTCTTGGTTCAAGAAAGGACACTGCAGGGTGTCCTTGTCTTTAGGTGGGAATAGGGGATATTTGTATCCACGTTGACAAATAGCTAGAATGACACACTTTTGGTCCAAGTATTAAAATGTTGGTAAGAGCAAGGATTGTGAACTATACATATCAGAAACCAAAGGCAGATATTTTATTTTTTCCACAATTAACAAAAGACCTAAATCTGGTATCCATGTGTAAGATGAATATAGCTGAGTTAGCATATTCTTAACAACACATTCTTAGAAACTGTGAGGTTTTAATTATCACTTAACAATCAAATGCTTTCAATGCTGAAAATTTCCAGGTAATATTTTTAAGTAATGTCTTACATTGTTATAGCACATTGCAAATTTCAGTCTTATATTATCTCATTTTATTTTGTTGGGAACTCTGTTAGTACTTACACAAGTACTGTTACCCCAAGTTTACAGAACAGAAAGCAACTTAGAATAACTAAAGGAGTTTCCCAAGATCAGACTAGTAAGAAATCTCTAGAAACCCTTGGTTTATGCAAATATTTTCTCACTGTGATGTTCCCTTTACAGTTTAATCTTGAATACTTTCATTATTTTATTTTTAAGTTATATGCATTGGAATTAAAAGTTGAATTCAGGTGAAATTTTCTCTTAATGCCAGTACCATAAATATCTTATTATTCTTAAAGTATGCATTCTTCAAATGCATACACTTTAGGTGAATTACTGTCTCAAAAAATGTTATGATCACTATTTCTTCCCTATATTCCTCAGTTTTAAACTGAACTTCCCACAAAGACATATCTGCTGCCAACCTCAAACAGAAATCTAAAAATGAATACAGTAATCCCTTAAAATTCAGAATTTTCAGAATAAAAAAAATCACTTGTTAAGAAATTTTCTAGAAATAATGTTTTTGCATTAACTTTCACTCCCTAAAATATTTGCTTGATCTATAAATAGCATGTAATTTCAACTTAAATATCCAGTTTCTTATAATGCACCAATCATTACTAGTTTGACTACAAGATTTCAGCCTCATTATTTACACAAGTAAAGATAAAAACTCAATATTGGGGACAGGCTAGCACTTTATCTGAATTTCTGTCTTGAATGAGATTATCAACATTTCCAGACTATTCTGATTTAGTAGTCTGTCAGACGATGGATAAATCCTAAAAGTATTTTGTAGCAAATCATTTCCTAGGAACCAAAGAGAACAGAATATAAGAAATGAATGAAGAAATAACTATGATATGATATTAGGTAGGCTGATCCTAAGTCACCTAAATTTAAAATATATTTTTCAATAGTGAAATATCTTGAGATCTTGAAGAAAATAAATTTTTTAGGCCTTACTGCATTCAAACATTCTTTCATAAATTTTGTTTGCTAAATATCTTCCACTTCATCCCACTGTCTTTTTTTTTTTTAACCTCTACCGCCCAAATCCCTTTATATTCTGCTCTGTCTCCCATGATAGGACTCTAAAGGGCCTGTGTATGTTTACATTTTGCATTTAAAAATTTTAAATATTTAGTACATTCTAGTTTCCATTTTGTACTATTTTTTTCTCTTTTAATGTACACCAGAACTTTTCTTAAACATGTATTCCTATGTGTACATTTTGAAATACTAATTTTTCAATCTTAGGTAATTTGGAGGGTTTTAGTAAAGATGAGAATTAAATATAAATATTGACAATTTGAAGTATATTTGTTGAAAATCAAGGACTGAAGAATTTAAATAGATGTCAGACCCATTTCTTAGAATTTAAGAAAGTGATCGTATTTATATCACGGAATTATTGAAAAAGGTCATGACTGCTATATTTCATGATCATCATGATAGATAATTGTTCATGAAAACAGGAAGCTACAAGACATTTTTATGGAAACTATAAAATATTAAATGTTCTATGAAGTTTAAAATGGCATGCTTAAGTAAAGAAACACTATATAACATACTTATTATGCATAATTGGTTTGTTCCTCTTTGGTAGTTTTTCATTACTCTTCTGTACATATAATTATATTAGGAAAATCTCTTCTAAGTCATTGATTAAACACACATCACCAAAGTTCTCTCTCAATTTCCATATATATCCCCATAGGAATATTATACAATTTTTTTGCTTTGGTGTACTTCTAGTCTATATTTTTGCTTGTGTGAGCACATATAATATGTATTTTGAAGAAATTACTTCATTGTAACATAATGCTGAAAGCAGATTTTAAATGTATTTAATAATGACAAGCTTGACATTTATCTTTCTTATTGATAAATGTACACACAACTGGTAAAATTCCTGAGAAGATAATCTGTCATATTGATAAGGGAAATAGTCTTAAATATACTGTATTACGATACCATTAATTTAAAAATTTCAGATATAAACATAGTGATTCTTTACTGATATGAGTTATTTACTCAAGTTCCCTCTTTGGTTATAATAGTTAAAAGTATTTTTGAACTACACTATACTTGTGAGAAGAATTTGCACTTATTTTTAATGTTAATTCACTTGTAATACCCTCCTTTTCTCTTCCAGGAAGAATTCCAAAGTCCTTTTGCAAGTCCAAGTAGAGGATTCTTTTTATTCAGGGTATGCACATACCTTATTTTTTAATCAATCAGTTTTGAAATTGGAAAATACTTTCACTGGGCATTTATTTGATTGATTCATAAGTTTTAACTAAATATTGAAGTTTATTTTTAGATATTTGATATCAGTTGTTACATTCTGACATTCATTCTGTTACAACCTTCTTCCTTTAATACCCCAGCATCTCCAGTCTCTTCTAAGATTCACTGTTCATGTTTGTAAATACCCCAAATGACACTCACTACTTGAAAACAATTAATTCCATGATATTTTGTGTATCAGAAGTGAATGTCTTTAAGGTACATTATTCCTTGAAGTTTCAAGGAACTTACTAAATTTTTGATTCAGTAGACTTGAAGAGTTATGATTTCTTTTATAAATTCTTAAAATTGAAAAAGTCAACTACAATAAAGACCATAACTAGAAAAAACTTTGTGATTGCATTCTCATTTTGTATTTCCAAATTGTGTATAAAATGTTTCTTTCTAAATAGCTGTATTTTCTGAAATATTTGTATCCTTAACAAATTACCCAAATTTTTTACATTAATTCATTTAGCAACTATTTGTTACAGTTCTAATGGGTGCTGGGCAATGTACTAATGACTGGAAATAAAAAGATAGGATTGAGTTCCTACGTTCTAGGCGTTTATAGCCTACTAGAGGTAGTAGTCACCCCTTGGTATCCATAGAGAATTGTTATAGGGTATCTCAAGGATACCAAAGTCTGAGGATGCTCAAGTTCCTGGTAGGACATTGTGTAGTGTTTGATGTAACCTTCTGCATCCTCCTGTATATTATAAATCATCTCTGGATTACCTATAATACTTAATGCAATGTGAATGCCATGTGTATATTTGTTTAGGGAATATGACAAGAAAAACTGCAGTACCACACATATGTGGTCACTACAAACACAATACATTTTAAAACTATTTTTGGTTGTGGAACCTATGGATACAGAGTACTGACTTTGTTGTGTTAAATGCATCTTCATTTGGGGGGTGTGGATTCCAAAGGGGGGAAAAAACTCACTGGAAAATACAGGATGTACAGGAATGACTTTATGTGCTGGAATCCTGAAGAATGAACAGATATTGCTTAATAAAATATTCAGCTGAAAAATTGAACTTTACATTGAGGTTAATAGGGGAGAGGAGCAGATGGTAAGGTTTGCATTTTGGAAAATAATCCTAATAGCAAATTGGAGAATTGATTGGTTGAAGGAACTAGATTGACAGCAGGAATAAGTAATACTAAACCACTGTCTTCAGAAAGTTAATTTTGGTTCGTATCAAATTAAATTTGAGAATGTTTCTTTTAAAAATTTGGTACTGGGTTTTGGATGTAGCTCAGATAATAGAGTGCCTGCATAACAAGTGCAAGGCCTTAAGTTCAAACCCCAGTACCACTCCCCCCCCTAAAAAAAACTGGTACCATATAAGCAAAATCAAATACTGTCTACCTCGATGTGTCATCAACAACCTTAGCAACACTTGGTGAGGAACTTGCTAAAAATGGAAATTTCCAAGCCCCATCTCAGACTTAATCAGAAACAGTCCTATTTCTATTCTGTTGAAAGCCTACCAGGTGATTTGATGTCCACTAAAGAAATCACCCTCTGTGTCATTAGGCTACTTTCGGTGAATCTTACTTTTCATCCCCAGTCATCTGAGTTTATTTCTAACATATCTTTCAGCCACGCAATGGGAGGGCAACAGGTTTCATTTAAAAAGGTATGTGCTTTTAAAAAAGATAAGTAAATAAACAGGTAAATATGATATGGAAGATGTTTCACACGTCAACCTGATTTGAATTTTTCCTTTGGTTTCAAATATTCACAAATTAAACTATGCTCAATGTATTTCTATTATTTGATTGTGTGAGCTCACTAATGTTGTAGAGAAATGTGGCAATTACTGGGGCAATGAGGGTTTTTAGGATGAAAATACCAGTAGTTTAGGATCAGATTTGCTTTGCATATAGTCCTCCTCAGACTGTACCACAACAGCAATCATCTTAATTGATTCTGAAGATAATGACCTCATCATTATTTATTGTGAAGTAGTAATATGTCAGAGATTGCACTCCTATTGTGGTGGTCTGTATCTACCCTAATGAGCCAGGATTTATAGACTGAATGTACCTGACTTCCAAATAATTCATACTCAAAGATCCTTTCCAAAAGCTTGTGATTTAACAGTTTCTAGGGAATTAAAAAAATGTGGCACTCCTAGAACTTGTGCTTCAGGGCTGAACATACAGTAGAAACTCAGCAGTCAGTAGCTGTTGAAATTGACGGATTTATTGAAGAGGGAGGGCTAGCGGCTACTGACCAGCCCCACATGTTTAATAAATATGTTAGTCCAGATATCTTGTTATACTATAAATTTGGAAATCAAACTGAAATGCAGATTTTTCAATTTATAGCACAGAAATAAAATAATCTTCTACTAAACTTATGTAATAATAAATTCAGCTCTATTGTAAACTTATTTTTGTAAATATTTCATTCATTTCATTTATCATAACACTTATATGAAGCTCAAGAATATTAAAATTCTTAATTTTTTTCTGGCAGTACTGGGGTTTGAGCTCAGGGCCTCACACTTGCTAGGCAGGTATTCTACCACTTGAGCCACTCCACCAGCCCTTTTTTTGTGTGGGTATTTTTCAAGATAGAGTCTCTTGAATTATTTGGCCAGGCTGTCCTCGAACAGAAATTCTTCTGATCTCTGCCTCTCAAGTAACTAGGATTATAGGTGTGAGCACTGGTTCCAGGCCCTTAATATTTCTTCAAAAAAGCAAAACCAAAATGCACCATTCTTAACCAAAAGAACATATCAATGCCTGAATCAAGCAGTATAAGATAAAACACTGCATAACTGTGTTAACTTTTATTAACACATTAATTGTATGAATTAATGGATTTTACTGCAACATGTCCACATGCATATCCACTCTCTCCTCTCCTCCCTCCCCATCCTCTTGTCAGACTCTCATTGTCCCTCTCTACATTCAGATCACTTTGGGTTTTATTGTTTGTTTGTTTGTTTGTTTCTACATATGGAAGAAAACATGCAATACTTGTCTTTCTGTGTGTGACTTACGTCACTCAGCATAATGTCTTCCACTTCCACTTATTTTCCTGTAAGTGACAGGATGATTTCAATTCTCTTTATGGCTGAATAACACTATATATATAACTCATATATACCATATAGTTGGTATATAGCACACACACACATATGTATGTATGTATATACACACATATACCATATACATACCAGACACCTAGGCTGATTCTATATCTTGGCTATTGTGAATAGTGCCACAATAAATATGGATATGCAGATGTCTTTTTTGTATGCTGGCTTCATTTTCTTTGCATATATAGTCAGGAGTGGTGTAACTAGATCATATGGTTTCTATTTTTAGTTTCTGAGGAACCTCCATTCTGGTTTCCATAGTGGCTGTACCAATTTACATTCCCACCAATAGTGTATAAAGGTTCCTTTTTCTACACATCCCCCTAAGCATTTGTTAGTTTTTTGTTTTCTTATTGATATCCATTCTAACTGGAGTGAGATGAAATCTCAGTGTAGCTTTGATTTGTATTTCCTTGATGGCTAAAAATGTTGAGCATTTTTTCATGGATTTATTGATTATTCGTACTTCTTTTAAGAAATGTCTATTCAGGTCCTTTGCTCATTTTTGTTGGATTACTTGATTTTTTTGATTGTTAATTTTTTTGCATTCTTTGTATAGATAAAGATATGAATCCTGTGGATATCAATTCTCTGTCAGTTGAAGAGAGCAGAGGAGAGGACAGGGATGTCAGTTGAATATCTGCTAGATTTTCTCCTAGCCTGTGGTTGTCTCTTTGCTGTCTTGGTTGTTAACTTAGTTGTGCAGAAGTTTTTTACTTTGATACATTCCCGTTTGGCAGTGCTTACTTTTGCTTGGGGATCTATCTGAGTCCTATCCAGGAAATTGTTGCCTGTGCCAATATCTTGAAGCACTCCCCCCATGTTTTCTTCTAGTAGTTTCAAATTTTCTGATCTCATGTTAAGGACTTTGACCCATTTTGAGTTGATTTTTGTGCAGGGTAAGAGGCAAGGGTCTGTTCCAGTATTCTACATATAGGTATCAGTTTTTCCCAGAATCATTTATTGAACAGTTTATCCTTTCTTCAAGGCATATTTTTAGTGCCTTTGTGGAGAATTAGTTTGCTCAAGATGTAAACAAAAAATAGTTTAATACTGAGACTGGGGATGCAGCTCAGTGGTAGAGCACTTGGTTAATATGCCAAGGCCCAGGGTTTGATCCCCAGAACTGCAACAACAACAAAAGTTTAATACTAAAGTTTAACACCAAAATAAATAGTAGAGTGTTCATGAGATCAAATGGAATTTAAGGCATAACTTGATCAATTTAGTAAGAAATTCTCTCTGAAGTTCAGAAAAATTGCTTTATTTGGATTATTTCCAAGATTTGAGTATACATAGACTGATTTGCTCCAGATTTTATCTATTTTGACTACTGAAAAACAATTCAATAATAATTTTTCTTTGTTTTTGTCATCTGATTATCTTTTCTTGCTCTATCCTGATGGCTTACATTTATTTAGAAAGTGGTTAAAAATAAAATGATTTAATTGCAAATATACAAAGACATTGGTAAACAATGAGGAACTGTGAAACTTTTGAAATACTCATAATTCTTGTTGGTACTTATGAGTTGTAAGAAACCACTTTTATATGATTAAATACTGCAAACTTTGAGAAAGCACAGACATATATAGAATAAGTGTTCCATCAAAGAGTGATTAAGTAGTAAACAATAACAAATATATAGACTGAAGAACAGCTGAGAAACATCTCAGATTCCAATGTTATTGTGCTATGACAAATACTTATAGAAATGTCTACATATAAGCTTTATATACATATATTCACATACTCATTTGCCCTTGAAGCTAATTCAGTTTTTCTTTTTCTCACAGGATGCCAACAATATTATGGAATACAAAATGTACTCACATTTTGTTTTCTTGTTTTCTTCTCAAAAACAATCCTTCCTAAGTTTACTCTGTTGAAAATGCCTGTATTGTGAACATTGTCAGTGAAACATAGTTGAGATTGTAAATGTTTAATTTGTTAAAAATAAAAAAGCATCTTAAAATATTTTTCTTAGTGTTATAATGATAAAGTCTATAATAAACCTCTAAACAGTGATGCTGCTTAGCTGTCTGAAGCTTTTGAAAGCACTGGTACACATAGGTTTTTTTTTTTTGATATTTTATAAGAATATCAAACTTTCATCAGAGTTGAGTGAGCTATTTTAGTTTAGCGCATTTGGATTTTGTCAGTGACAAAAAACCAGCTCTTACAAATACCAGAATGTAGGAGGGTACATACCTAAAATCTCAGCACTCAGGAAGCTGAAGCAGGAAAATCATGAGCTCAAGGACAACTTGGGCTACATAGCAAGACCCTGTCTTAAAAACAAAACAAAAATAAACAAACAAAAACACAGACTGCCCAACAGCTAACAATCTGAGAATGTGAATAACAACTAGCAAACTACACTAGTTGGGAGATTTGACCATGACCTATCCAATGGTCCAATATGCAAGTTCTGATTTAAATTCTATAAAATAAGTTTCTTTCTTTTTTCTTTGTATGAACTCAGGGCCCTGTGCTTGCTAAGCAAGTGCTCTACCACCTGAGCCACTTTCCCAGTGCTTTTTGCTTTTTAGTTATTTTTCATATAGGGTCTCACATTTATGCCCTGGCTGACCTGGACTGTGATCCTCCTATTTACACCTCCCATGTACTGGTTGAGATGGGATCTCATGAACTTTTTTGCTTGGCTGGCCTCAAACCACCATCCTCCAGATCTCTGTCTCCCACGTAGTTGAGATTACAGGTGTGAGCCACTGTACTTGGCTAAAATAGATTTCTAATTGCTGCAAATCAGGCAGGTTTTCCTGCCAATTTGTACTATTTGGTTTATCTTAAGATAAGTTGTTGCACACTGCAACATCTGAAAGGCAACCAGTCTTGTCCATTACTAGGAAGAAAATAATCTTATTAGTACAGTATTTTAAACATACTTGGAGAATTTTTTACACCAAATAGATGTTTAGTGGACACAGAATTAACCTCAGATAGAGGTTGAGTTTAACCTCTTCCCTCCAAGTTTTCTTGATGCTTTTCCTTTGATCTCCCTCTTAAATGTCCACCTCCTCCACCAAGAAAATTGCTGGATGATTAGAGAAGGGTGACTCTTTGAATGGGTAGGATGAGTCTACAGCCATACCACCCTCATAGTGCCCAATCTCATCTGAATAGGTAGGATTCGGTCTATTAATTAATTAGAGCAGAGAGTATCGAACAAACCTTTGTCTTTCTAATGTTGACTCATGATTATATTTTAAATTATACATTTTACTAAAAAGTTCCAGAATTTCACTTCTTGTCATCCTAAGTGAAGAACATAAGGAGGCAGAAGAGGACAAAAATTGAATTCTTCTTTAAAAAATAAATTGCCTTGACAGAATGGGATCTTGGGAGGGCCCTTCCTCCAAAGCAAGGGGCAACATTAGCTAGTTCTATGCACAACAAATCAACTAGCCTGGAATTTTGATTGCAAAATAAGAAAAGGGAGTTGAATATTAGGAAGCAGTTCCCAAGCCTATCAAAAATCCAAAGATTGTTTGCTTACATATTTTAAGACTCCTAGCATAAGGAGGATGGGGAGAAGAGGAGGATGTGGAGGAGGGGGAGATGGAGGAAAAATACCAAGGTATGATTACCTTGGTAATCATAGGATTACCAAAGTATTTTTATTTAACAAATTAATGTCTCATATACAAACACAGCAGAATATGTGAGCTACTATTATAAGATTTGTATTAAGTACTAACTGGGCACCATAGATAAAGTGGCCTATAGCTAAATACATGTTCAAAATTGTATTATTAAAAACACTTTTTCTTGTTTTCCAAATCCTGTTGAGATATCTCTGGGACCATGTATATAATCACATAAATAGCACCAAGTGTCTTCTCTAATTCCCTAGCAAACAGCTCCTAGAAAGCATCCTTTTCTTATACACCAGGAAACTCAACTATCTCTGTATCTTACCACAGCTACTGTCTCTCCTAAGGAAGTGGTATTTTAAGATGGAGACTGGGAGTCCACAGTCCCATTTGAAAATCTGAAGAAAGCTGTGCCTTCATTACAGAAAAAATGTACACATGCCACAAAATTATGTGTAAAATTGGGGTCCAAGGGCTAGGTGTCCCTCAAATCTTTTCCAAAAATAGGCTATGAACTCCCAGTTACAAACTCCTTGGAGGGGTTCTCCACTCCCAGGAGTTTGTTATTTTTACAGAGACAGGACTCAGGGGCTGCAGGGTGCCAGGGGCCGGGAAACAACCGGTCCACTGGTAATGGTGGTGTCAGAGAGAAGGATGCCGGGAACTGCAGCACCAGCACCTTATAGTGAACAGCAAGGGCCGTGCTGGAGATAGATGCTTCAGGATCTGGTACCCAAAGTCACGCCCTAGGTCACGCCTCTGCGTTGCCTGGCAACGGAGCTCATAGTTCTCCCTCGCCCCTGCCCTCGGGGCGTTGGAAACCGCTGGTCCTGAAGCGGGCTGTGTCCCAGCCTGGAGGGACTGGGGGTCTCGACCCCTAGCGAGGAGCACAGCGGAACATCATGCAGGTGAGCGGCGCGGACCACGGGCGACATTGGAGTACCTGGGGTGTACCAAGCTCCGCCCCAGGCTGAGGGGGGATAAATGGAAAGGGTAGCCTACAGTATTGGGTTCTAACATTTGTTCTTGCCAAGTGTTGACTTTTGCGTGAGTCTCTGGCTAGTTCGGGAAGAAATCTTGAATTAGTGCTAGGAGGCCATTTTTTCAACATTCAAGACCTCGGTTTTGCTGGCGGAGTGGCTCAAGTGGTAGAGCGCCTAGCTTGCAAGCATGATGCCCTGAATTCAAACCCCAGTTCCTCAAAACCAACAAAACCAAAAACAAACAAGCAAAAAGCTCGGTTTGTTGCAGGAGGAAACATTCACAGTTGTTTAGTATTGCCCGAACACGGAATCTTGGAAATCCCCTGGCCTACTATTTCCCACTTAAGAAGAAAGAGCAACATTAGGCCCAACGTAATTCAAGTTAATTGTCCTTTTCCACTATCTTAGAAACTCTAGTCATTGCGTAGGTCTTGAGAAAAACCACTGTCCCTGGAATTTCTCCTACTCGACCCCAAAAACTTATTAGATGTCCATTTATTCTTAGAAGGCTCCTCTGTCTAAAGTCTCTTTATTAACCAGAAGCTTGAGCTTTTTTTCTTTTTCCTTCCCTCCCCCTTTCTTTCTGCACCTTCCACTTCCCCCCTTCCATTCTTTTCTTTTTTAGCGAGTACAGTTTTCACTTTGTGACTTACAGAAACAACTTTGTCACACCTGCTCCCCCAAACTAAAACCATTGGAATTTTTCTTGTTTTTACATACTTAATTTTGGCATCTGTGTATACCGTACAATTTGTTAGGATACTCTAACTTAAATTACATACGATTTTAATGTCTAGTCCTTTCATGTTAATAATAGATTGCTAGCAAGTGCATATTATACAATTTGGAAACCACTGCAGATATTTATCTGCTTTTCAGGAATTCAGCAGAAAAGTAATTGAGAATGAAGGCAACAGCTCATTAACCTTTCTTTGTTCATTTTCTTATTCTAATTTATTCAACAGCCAGTTATACAGGTCTTCTGTTTTAGATATGGGCTTACTACGAGGGTGAAAGAGATATAACTATGGCAGGGTAAAATGCCATTATGCTTTGAGGAAGTAGATTGTGGTGCCCATTTCTGTTGGGTAAGATTTCATAGATAATTTCTAAAAGTGAAGGGAATAGCAGAGTATTGACTATTGACTGTTTCAGTCTGCCCCATTGCACCCACCTCCTAGATCAGTTAAAGAAGAGCAGAGAAGTTTGTATGAATCATTAAGGTGTCATGAAGATCAAGAAAGTGTTTTAGCAAAGAAAAAAACTCCAACTAGTTCAAATTGTGCTGAAAAGATCAAATACAAGGACTATCCAGTGAAATTAGCAATATGCAGCTCATTGGTAACCTGAGCAGAAAAATTTTGAAGGAGACAGAAGCCAAGATTGGAATGAGTTGAAGAGTGACTAGGAGGTAGAATCAGTTATGGTTTATATTTTAATTCTCACAGTTCTTGTAAGTAGTTCAGCAACAATAGAGAAGGGAATGTACTATGGAATGTGAAATACAGGAAGAAAACCTCATTGCAGGTTTTTCTGATAATAGAGGGTGAGGTTATAGGGACCAGGTCTCCTTTGAACAGAAGTAAAAATAAGGGTTAGGATGTAAAGTTTAGGGGATGCTTCTAGAGGATTTAAAACCATCAAAGGGATCTCCTATAAGTACCAAAAATGTGACAGATAGTAAGAAATAATTATATCAAAAGCAAAGGGAAAGTGAAAACCCATAGATTTTTAGGGCTCATAAGACACCAGAATATGCTACTCCAAAATATGACTGGCAGAGACCGGATAATGTCACCCAAAATTGCCTTTCTGGGATAAGGATTATTTTTGAATTTGTTTGAAAAACAATAGACACTGGAGAAGCTCTAAAACTTACCCTTTTATAAGGGAAGTTTATATCCATAATGGAAATTTCCTTTTGTAAGGATGTTTACCTTTGTGTACCTGGAAGCGAAGGAGGACTCCAAAGCACTGGGAATGTTATCAGTGAAGATTGTACCAGTTTAAATCTGCATAACAAATTCTACTCTTATTTACCTTGCTTTTTATGTTCACCATCCCATAACTTGCCTCTTCTACATCCTTTCTTTGTTTCAGCTGAAGATGATATTTTAAGCCTGAATTTTCGGCCACCTCTTTGAGATTTATCTATTTCCCATATATCCATGAGGCATACAAACTAATAAGCTTCTGTTTTTCTCGTGTTATAACAAGAGTTCATCTGGCCAAAAACTCAGAAATGTGGAGAGAATTTTTTTTTTCCTGCTCTAAAAACTCCAAAGTCTCTTTTACCTTCAAGGCATTAGTAATTTGCATTTTGGTACTGGGTATAATCACAGCGTGAGGAGGAGCCAAAAGGCATAGTCCACCAAAGGATGGAGACTGACGTAACCAGAGTTGTAGGCCAGAGGCCCAACTCCCAGGATTCCACCATGTCATGCCTGCCCACACACTCCAGTATGCCAAATAAAGAGATGAGTAGCAGTGAAGGGAGAAAGGAGATTTACTTGTGGAATAGGCAGGCTGAGGAAGAGGCAATGGATGCATTTCAGCCCATTTTAAGTGTACTGACATGACTTTTAGGTTTAAATACAGGAAAAATTGGGATGGGGGAGAGAAGTACACATAATAAAGGAGTCACAGTCACAGTGTGGCCTAGTTGATCAGTATCTCAGTTGTGGTTCTGCAAGAGGTTCTAGAGAAGTTATCATTGTCATTTGCTTTAGGGGAGCAATCTGTTTCCCATGAGATGATTACTCCTGCTTCAGGATGCAGCTTCCTCAATGTAGGTAATTTTCCTCATTTGGGGAGTGGTCCATCCTATGAGACTCTGCTGTTCCTTTCCTTGGAGGCAGTTTTTAGTCCCTGTCATCAATGTTAAATATTAATCATTCTTGACCTTCCTGGAGCCCAAGGTGATTGTCGGAGAGAGACTCAGATAAAACAGACATGCAAAACAGAGGTAAGAATGCCAAGCTTTTCTTCAGCTTTTGGTTAATTTGGGAGCTTAATTCCACAAATTAGGAGCCAGCAATTTTTTTTTAACAAAAGCAGTTCTAAGTGCCTGTTACACTAATAGGAAAATGATAGGACTTATGCATAGGTAGAGAAGGTTGTCTTGATGCTTAATGGGCAGGGATAAAATCTGTTCCCAAGAAATTTTGGCTCAAGACAAATTTTATATGAATTTCCATCCAGAGGCACATTGTCCGGTGGCCTAGCCAATGTCAAACTGTAAATTTGTTGTAAGTCAATTATATTCCACTGTGGAAGAAGATACCTTTATCTTACTTTGGTTTTGAGGAATTTCATCAATCAAGATGAGCAAGCAGAAATCAGTCAAAAGTAACCAAGTATGCAATGCAAAGAATGTTCAACATATGTAAATTATGAACTGTGATAGAGCACATCAACTGAAAGAAGGACAAAACCATTTGATCATTTCAATGGACAGAGAAGTAACCAAGCATGCAAAGAAAAAAGGAAGCAGCATGACCATGAGTCAATTAAAAAGAGACTTACAGACTTACCTGAGGTCTAGAATGGTCAGAAGCAGGTAACTAAACAACTGTGTTCGTTCTGTTTTTTCAGAGTCCTGTTTGAAAGTATCTGCAGGTAGTAGAAGACTATAAAAAGCAGCCTTAAATTTTTTTACAAAGACATTTCTATACAATAATAGTGAGCAGTCTGGAAGGAAATTAAGAAAACAATTCAATTTACAATAACATCAAAAAGAATGAAATACTTTGGAATAACCTAAATGAATGAGGCCAAAGACTTGTATGTATTGCTAAAAGAAATTAAAGAAAGCATAAATAAGTGACAATATATCCAATGTTTGTGAACTGGAAGACTTACTAATGTCAAAAAGCCAATGTTACCTGCAGCAATCTATATATTCAGTGCAACTCTTGTCTAATCCCAGCAATATTTTTTGTAGGAATAGAAAAATCTAATTTAAAATTTATGTGGAATCTCGAGGGACTCCAAGCGTCAAAATAGTTTTGAGAAAGAGCAAAGTTGGAGGACCCTGAAATTGACAGCAGTCATAGTTGGACAACAGTGCATATATATTTACTGCCCCTGAACTGTATATTTTTTAAATAATTAAAATGATAAATTTTATTAAAAAATTATTTTACCACAATAAAAAAATATTTGAGGGCTGGGGGCATGACTCAAATGATACAGCTCTTGGCTAGCAAGCTGGAAGCCCTAGGTTCAATCCCCAGAACCACAAAACAACAACAACAAAAATGGATTAAGAGCCAAATGAAACTGAAAATTTAAAACTGCAACAAATGAAATTAATAATATCAGTGGATGGGCTTTTCCAGGTTAGCAGAAAAGATAGAGGAAAAATACCATAAGAGGTCACGGAATATTTGAAGGGATAATTTTTGTGAATTTTCCAGAAATGTTAAAAGATACCATTCTACAGCTTCCAAAAGATCAGTGAACCCATGCAAGACAAATAAAAAGAAATATATACCTTGATACATTATGGCAAACTGCAGAAAACTATGGACAAAGAATATCTTAAATGCTGCCACACAATGAAAATAGACTTTTTGAAAGTCTCTTGGACTGATAGCTGATTGCAATCAAGGTATCAGCCAGAGGTGTGGTCTCTATTGAAGATACAACAGAAGAAGAATCCACTTTCAAGTTCACTTATGTGGTAGTGGTAGCATTTAGTATTTTCTAAGCTATTTGGCTGAGAACTTCAGTTCCTACCTTATTCTTGACCACATTTTTTGATTCTTTCTTTCTTTTTTTTTTTTTTTTAAGAAATAGAGTCTCTCAATGTAACCCAGGCTGACCAGGAACTAGTTATGTAGCCCAGGATGGCCTCTACCTTGTGATCTTCCTGCCTCAGTCTCCCAAGTGCTGGGATTATAGGTGTGTACCACCATGCCTAGCTATACTTTCTTGATATAAGATTCTCTCCACAGGACATCTCACAATATGGCAGCTTGCTTCATCAAAGTCAACAGTCAATCTGCTGGCAAGATGGAAACAATCTTATGGAATGTAATCACAGAAATTATATTCCTTCACTTTTGTAATACTTACCAGTTATAAGCAAGACACAGTTTCCATTCATAGTCAAGGAGGGAGATCATTCAAAGCCATCTTAGACTTTGTCTGCCACAATATTCACTATGTATATAATTAAGTTCTCTCCCTAAACATCAGAGACTATGCACAGCAGGATAGAGAAACAGTAGCTAACACATAGTAGAAAACTTCTGGAAAAGCTGTAAACAAAAGATCAATGACTAAGTAACAAGGAAAACAAAGCTAATTTTCATAGAAAGGAAATCATGGTTAGGTGGAAATTGAACTGTAGAAAGACTGCTAGGCTGTTCTAAGATTTAGTCCATAAGTGAGAGTCCCAAGTACCTATGTACTAGACATAAAGCAAGGCCATCTGAAGATTTTGAATGTAGAAAAAAAACCAAGCCATATTTGTGCATGATGTGACTTGGCTTTACCCACTATAGGTCGGTGAATTTTCCATAACTTACAAGTTTACTTCCTTAATATTTGATGTATGTGTTCTAAATTGATTTTTCTTAAATTTCTTAGTGTAGCATTAAAGATAGAAGATGTGCCTGTTTCTCAAAGTATGTAATCCCATTATTGCTAGGAAGTGAAAAAAAGAACACTTTGCTCTGCTCTTCAAACTTGATTATCTGTAAAGTTAGAAGTGCTGCATATCAGTCAATTTTACAAACATGCATTCAAATGTAAAACAATGTCAAAAGAGTTTGTTTTTCTGTAGGATCCAAATGAAGATACAGAATGGAATGAAATTTTAAGGGATTTTGGCATTCTTCCTCCAAAAGAAGAACCAAAAGATGAAATTGAAGAAATGGTTTTACGTTTGCAGAAAGAAGCAATGGGTATACTTGTGCATTCGTGGGGCTGGATGAAGGGGATAACACAGTTAAAGTAGTAATGTACTTGTGAACATAGAAGGAAAGCATTAGAAATTGTTTAATATAAATGCCACCTATGCATTCAGAATAAGGATATTGACATGTTGAAAATCATATGCTGAAATAAGTTAGTATGAAACTTAGTAAGAGTCCTTTTCCCATGGGCTGGTGGCTCAAGTGGTGGAGCACCTGCCTAGCAAGTGTTAGGCCTTGAGTTCAAATCCCAGCACTGAAAGAAAAGATTTCTTCTCCCATCAGTCCCTCTACCTGTGATTGACTTTTTTTTTTAAGCTGGGGCTTAAACTCAGGGCCTAAACCTTGAGCAACTCCACCAGTCCTTTTTTTGTGATGGTTTTTTTTTTTTTTTTTTTTTGAATAGGGTCTGGCAAGCTATTTGCCCTGGCTGGTTTCAAACCACAATCCTCCTGATCTCTGCCTCCTGAGTAGCTAGGGTTACAGGCATGAGCCATTGGCACTTGGCTAATTGCCGTCTATTTTGATCATTCTATATATAGATATATAGACATATTCTATATATATATAGTTCGACTTGTCAGGATTTCCAGGTACATAGAAGAAATCAAAATTAATGGAGTCTGACTCCACTCCTGTGGCCTGTCAGTTGTGTGAACCTTAAAGGAGTAAGAAAACTTTAATGTAGTTTCTGCAACATGTTAACTGTTTTATTGCCAACTCCTACAGGTTTGTTTAAAGATATTCTTCATCTCCATTTGTCTAAGCTTTTTTCTACACTTTGATTGTAGAGTAAAAATAGTTTTTAAACAATTTGACTATAATTTATGTTGTTTTAGTTAAACCATATGAAAAGATGACACTTGCACAGTTGAAAGAAGCTGAAGATGAGTTTGATGAAGAAGATATGAGAGCTATTGAAATATATAGGTACAGTGTTTGGTTACTTATGAATTTTTGAATAAGAAATTGGCTGATAGTCTTATAAAGGACCTTTTCTGTGTAATTTTGATTCTTTTTTGCTGTTTCACAAATTCTGTCTGTCTTTGCCTTTTCATAATTTGACAATGATATGTCACCATGTAGGTATCTCTGAGTGTATCCTACTTAGAATTCATTGGACATTTTTAATTTTGATTTATGCTTTTAGTCAAATTTGGGAGGTTTTCAGGTATTTGTTGTTAAGATATTCTTTCTTCTCCTTTCTCTCTCTCTTCTTCTTTGGGGACTTCTACCATGTGTGTGTTGATCTACTTGATAGTGTCTCATAGGCCCTGTAGCCTCTGTTCACTTTCCTTCATTCCTTTTTTTTCCTATTCCTCAGACTTGGTAATTAGAATAGTCCTATCTTTGAATTTTCTGATTCCTTCTTTTCCTTGTTCAAATCTGTGAAGTTCTCCAGTATATTTTTCATTTTAGTTATTTTACTTTTTTTAGTTCCTCTGGTATATTCTTACTCATACTGCTTCTGACATGAAATGTGCAGGATTTTTTTCCTACACCAACAAATTCTACAAATTTCCAATTACCAACTGGATATCCTGCAATTCAATTCAGTTTTCATACTTACAGAGTTAAGCAAAAATGCCACATGAAAGATCACTTCATACCCTCTAGAATGATTATAATACAAAATGCAGACAATAACAAAAGTGTTGGTAAGGAGGTGAAGAAGTTAGAACCCTTGTCATAGCTGGTAAGAATGAAAAATTGTGCAGCCACAGTAACACTCTGGCAAATCCTCAAATGGTTAAATATAGAATTGTCAGTCATCCAGCAATTCTGCTTCTAGACATAGACCCAATAACAAGAGAACTGAAAAACAAAACATGTTTTGTTTTATGAAACAAATAATGTTTTCATAGCAATATTATTTATAATAACCAGAAAGTAGAAACAGCCTAAATACCTATCAGCTGATGAGTGGATAACCAAAAATGGCATATGTATGCAGTGGAATATTACTTGGCCATAAAACAAAATGAAGTACCAGTGTGTTCTACAACACTGAAAACGTCATGCAATCGGAAAGAAACAAGTCACACAAGTCCATACAAACAGAAAGAAGACTATCAGATACCAAAGTCTTGGGATGGGCAAATAGGAAGTAACTATAAGTAGATGCAGAGTTTATTTTGGAGTGATGAAAATGTTTTTGAATTAGATCATTGTGGTTTCTGAAATTTTTCACCTATGTCCTATCTCTTGAGCACCTCTTTTCTAGGCAATGACTATGGCCTGGGCCCTTTTCATTGGGGAACATATCATCTTAAAATCCTTTACTTCCAAACTTATAAATCAGAGAGACAGTTTGGAAATCACACGGGGCATTTTAGGAATGAGTCATTGAGATGGATATATCACTTTCACTCCTCTTTCACTGACTATAATCTAATCTCATGATTCTGCAAAAGGCAGCTGTGAAGTGTGGTCTTCCTGTGAGCCTCAGAAGCGATAGCTGTAATGATACTGCAGGACAAGATAAAGAAATGAAAAGTATAATATTCAAAAAGAGACAAAATTCTATTTTGTAGGTAATTAGCTATGAAATAACAAGTGAATCAACCCAGAAGCGCTTATACTAAAAGGATCGAGGAATATCTGTATGTAGCTATGAGCATATCTTCAGTATATTTTTTGTGGCAGATATACTAAATTGGCTCCCTTGACATATTTTCTCTTCCCCATATTAAGCTCCTTTCTGCTTAAAATAGCCACAGGGCTTTCTGTTTATGGAACTGAATCTCAGCTAATGTAATTGTTAGATGAAAAATGCAGGCCATTGAACACTATGTGACTTCCTGATGGCAAAGCTAGCCACCATATTTACATTTCTCTCCTGCCCAATTCCAAGGAAATGACAAAGTAGAATGAAACAATGAGGAGAGGAAGTGCAGTGGAGGAAGAAGAAAAGTAGTTGAGAGTTGTACCATTAAAGTAGGGCATGGCACCATGATTTTCCGGAAGAAGAACACTTTGAAATTTCTAAATGATATTAAGCTAGAGAGATCAAGTTGAGGGAAGTGAGTGATACTAAATATTATGCTCCCAAATAGGGAGCTCCCAAAAGTAGGGCTCCCAAAAGGTCTTTGGAATAACTCTAGGTGATATCTCAGCCAGTAGAGGGAAAAGTGAAGGCGTTCAATTTGAAAACTGTGAAACACCTTAGTCCTGCATTATCCTTTGAATTCTCTTTAAGACTTCATTTTTCTGGGATTATTTGTTATATAAAGTGAGAAGTGTCACCTGACACCTTTCTTAAAATGTGAAATAAGGCTACAGTGTTTTAAAATGTACTAAGGATTTTGTTTTTATTCAAGTATGATCAGGGGATAGTTGCCATTGAAAGGATAGTTTGTTACTTGCAGTTCCCAAGAGTAAGGGGGTATGCCATGCCACATCCACAGGGCCACACAGGGAATCACCTGAATTTGTCAGGAGTCAGAAGGAGAAAGGGGACACAAGTCTTAATTGTGGTTTTTGTGGGAAAGGCAAGGTAAGCAGGCATGGGAATGGCTAGTTTAAATAATATGGATGGGCTCTTGGCTATAAAAAGGCTATTGCTAGTTGTCTAGTACCAGGTCATGGGTGATACAGAAGGTGATTGAAACAGGGAATGGTGGAGCATGCATGTAGTCCCAGGAGGGCTGAGGCAGGAGAACTGCTTGAGTCCAGGAGTTTGAGACCAGCCTGAGTAACATAGCAAGATCTTGTCTCAAAAAAAAGAAAACAGAAAGAAGGGAAGGAAGGAAGGAAGGCAGGCAGGAAGAAAGGAAGGAGGGAAAAGGAAAAAGGAAAAAGAGAAAGAAAAAAGAAGGTAATTGAGGTTATGGCCTCTGGATTGGCTAGTTTGCATCTCTAGTGTGTGCTTTCTGGAAATGTTTGCTCTTTCTTGGAATTAGCTGGCCGTACGATGAGCATTCTACAGAGGATCAGCAAGACTATAGATGCCAAAGCATCACGAATATAGAAAATACAGTTTAAAGAGAAAGAAAGGACATAACTATCACCAGAAAACTTAGAAGTATAGAATCAGTAAATGTTAAGAAACTTGAAAACATGTTAGAAACTATGTGGGTTTACCTCATAAATCCAAGCATTCAACAGCTTAATAATGAAAGCATGTAAGTTTTGAGATGATAGTTACAAAGTTGTTTTTTGTTTGTTTGTTTTGGGGGTTGTGTTTTTTGTGGTAGTGGGGTTTGAAACATGGGCCTTGTGCTCACTAGGCAGATGCTCTACCACTGGTCTGTCCCAGCCCAGTTACAAAGTTTTAATGTACTCTATGGATGAAAAAAGAAGAAAAATACATTAAATTATCTTCAGATGCCAGACATTTTGCTAGGACATTAGCATGTTTCATTTTATTTAATCCCCAGCAACTCTATTGATTAGGTATTAGTTTTATTCTTATGTACAACTGGGGAAAGTGAAGTTTAGAATAATTAAATTTTAAAAATTAAAAATAGATATAAATCAGTAAGTGAATGCAAAAGAAAGAAAAGGAGAAAGAAAGATATAAAAAGAAAAGAAGAAAGTGCATGGTAGAGTCTGAAAGCACTTGAGACCTACCTCTGGGAGATACACTCTGGTTCATGTTTGCTGCCAGGCAGGAGTGAGGGCCCCAAGTCCAGACCATCTGAAATACATAACTTCCATAACTTCCTCCTACAGGAAGGTGAAGTGTTGGAAGGGGTCTGAAAACACTGAGACCTAACTCTGAAAAATGTATCCTGGTGTTTGTTTGCTGCCAAGGGGGGACTGTTGTTTGCTGCCAAGGGGGGACTGAGGAACCGAAGTCCAGGCTCTCTGAATCATATGCTCCACAGCCCCCTCCAGAGACAGGATCAGAAAGCACTTAAACCAACAGGCAGAGGGCCTAGGTACCTAAGTTCTCCCCTGTCAGTGCAGAACTCAGTTTTCTATTTGCTCACCCTACTCTCCAACACATTCAGAGGTTGCCCAGAGCCTGAATACTTGCTGCCACTGGGGGCACAAACTTGATAGGGAAGGTCTGCGGAGCAAGTAGGAGTCTGCCACACCCATAGGTTATAAACTCCCTGCAACATGAAACAGCTCCCAGTACACAAACGAAGCTTGTATAGTGAAAGCAGCTCAGAAGTGGACAACTGATCCTTCTATATGAGTCCTCAGCTACTTTTCCTTAATAAGAGAAGTGCTGAGATCAGACTTGGTGCCCTGAGCATATAGGCATATGCTTGGCTACTGAGTTACACCCTCAGTCCAGTGGTGAGAAATAGCACCTTAACCTATGCTTGAGAATATTTCAACTGAAAGATTACAGGCAATTAAAACTTCCAACCGATGGCTTGGGCTCAGGTGCAGAAAAATGAGAAATAAGAAATATGAAAAAAACAAGGTAGCATGACAAAACTCAACAACTCCACAGTAACAAACACCAATGATAGCAAAGTGGATGAACTCTCAAACAATTAAAAAAAAAAAGATTACAAGAATGATGAGTGAAATTAAAGAGAACACAAATAAAACACCTGAATGAATTCCAATGAAGACCTGAATGAAATAAGACAATTCAGGACATAAAAGAGAAATTCAATAAAGATATAGAAATTCTGAAAAAAATCAAATTAAAATTCTGGAAATGAAAAGTTCAATGTCAAATTAAAAACTCAGTTGAAAGCCTCTCCAGTATAATGGAACAAATTGAAGGCAGAAAATCAAGGCTTGACAACAAAGTAGATATAATAGAAAAATCAACTGAAGATAAAAAAAAAAAGAAGTATGTATGGAATATTCAAGAACTGAGACACCATTAAAAGACCAAACCTATGAATCACAGTCATTGAAGAAAAGGAATAGGTGCAAGCTAAAGGCACATAAAATATATTCAATAAAACAATAGCAGAAAACTTCTCAAGTCTTTAGGAAGTGATTGTCATCCAGGTACAGGATACTTCTAGGACTTCAAACAGACAAGACCAGAAAAGAATCTCTCCAAAGCATATTACATATAGTTAAAACATTAATCATACAGAACAAAGAAAGAATATTGGCAGGAGAGAAGTGCCAAGTCACCTCTAAAGGCAAACTGATCAGAATAACAGCAGATTTCTCAACAGAAATTTAAACACAAGGAGTGCATAGAATGATGTATTTCAAAACTTGAAAGAAAATAATTGCCAACCTAGATTACTGTACTCAGCAAACTTATCCTTCATTATTAAAGAAGGAAAAAAATCTTCCATGATAAACAAAACCTAAAGCAATTCATGACCACTAACATGCACTGAAGAAAATACTTAAAGGCATCCTATACACAGAGGAAGAGGATAAATGCAACTATTAAAACATGGGGAAAAATCTTACTAGATTAGTAGATGAGTAAATGAAGAGTAAGAAAGAACCAAACACTACAAAAACAAAATGGTAGGAACTACATATGTTTCAATAATAACTCTGAATGTTAATGGCCCAATTCTGCAATCACAAGACACAAACTAGCAGATTAACCATTTGTTGCTTACAAGAAATGCACCTCACTGGCAAAAGACAAATATAAGCTTAATGTGAAATGATAGAAAAAGATTTTCCAAGCAAATGAAGCGCCAAAGCAAGCAGGAGTAGCCATACTTATATCTGAAGAAGCAGATTTCAAACCAAAATTAGTCAGGAGTGACAAAGTCACTTCATATTGATAAAGGGAACAATTCATCAGGAAGATATAACAATTATAAACATACTCACACCACATGTTGGTACATCCAATCTCATAAAACAAACTCTACTGAATACAAAAGCATGGATATCCCAAAACAAGAATAGTGGGTGACTTTAATATCTTATTTTCACCAAAAGATGGTCTTCCAACAAAAAATACACAATAAAGAAACTTCAGAATTAAATAATACTATACATCAAGTGGAATTAATATATCCACAGAATGTTCCACCCAACAACTGCAGAATACACATTCTTTCCAGCAGTCCATGGAACTCCAAAGTAGATCATATCTTAGAACACAAAGTCTTAATAAATACAAGAAAATTGAAATAACTTCATGCATTTTATCAGATCACAATGGAATAAAACTAGAAATCAATAAGAAGAGAAAATACAGAAAACATTCAAACACATGGAGACTAAGCAGTTCACCTTTAAATAATCGGTGGGTCATCAAAGAAGTAAAGGGGGAGGGAAGAATAAAAAAATTTCTATAATCAAATGAAAATGAAAAAAACAACTTACAAGAACCTGTGGGATACAACATAGGCAGTGCTAAGAGGAAAGTTATAGCTATGAGTGCTTACATCAAAAAGAAAAATCAAGACATCTCAAATAAATAACCTAATGATTTACCTCAAGTTCTTAGAGAAACAAAAGCCAAACCCAAAAGTAGTTGATGGAAAGAAATAAAAATTGTGGCAGAAATTAATGAAATGGAGACCAAAAGACAAATGCAAAGGATCAGTGAAACAAAAACTTGATTCTTTGAGAAGAAAACAAGAATGAACAACCTTTATCCATACTAACCAATAGAGATGAGAAAGGGGACATCACAAAAAAAAAATGCCAATGAAATTAAGCAAGTAGAAGGATACAAAACCAACATGCAAAAATCAGTAGCTTTCCTATGCATCAACAACAAAGAGGCTAAGAATGAAATCAGGAGAACAATCCCATTCAAAATAGCTTAAAAAATTAAATACCTAGGAACAAACCTAACTAAGGAGGCAAAAGACCTCTACAATGAAAACTATGCAACCTTGAGGAGACTGAAGAAGACACTAGAAAGACTTCCTATTTTCATGAATCGGCAGAGTGATATTGTAAAAATAGCTATACTTCTGAGAGCAGTTGATTGCAATTTCAATTAGAATTCCAGTGTCATTTTTTCAAGAAACTGAAAAAATAATCCTAAAATTCATATGAAAGCACAAAAGACCCTGAGTGGCCAAAGCAATCCTGAACAAAAAGAACAAAACTGGAGGTAACACAATACCCGAGTTCAATTTATACTATAGAACCATAGTAACAAAAATAGCATGGCACTGGCAAAAAATTAGATGTATAGACCAAAGAAACAGAAGATCCAGAAACGAACTAACACAGCTACAGCCCTCTGATTTTTGACCAAGGCACCAAAAACATACGTTGGAGAAAAGACATCCTCTTTAACAAATGGTGTTGGAAAAACTGGATATTCACATATAGAAGACTAAAAGTAGACCCTATTGTTCACCCTGTACAAAATTTGGTTCAAAATGGATCAAAGGTCCAAATGTAAGTTTGAAATTTTGGAACTACTAGAGGAAAATATAGGGAAGACCCTTGAAGATAGAGGTGTAGGAAATGCCTTTCTGAACAGGACTCTCTCTAATTGCTCAAGAAATCAGAGTAAGAACTGACAAATGTGATTGCATCAAACTAAAAGCTTCTGCACGACAAAGGAAACAATGACCTGAATGAAGACTCGACCCACAGGATGATATCTGGAATATATGCATTCCAAAAATTAAACACCAGACAAACAACCCAATTAATGAATAGGCAAAAGAAGACGTCACAACAAGTACAAATGTCTTCTTGTCAAATGTCTTGGGACAAAATGAATTGTCACAAGAAGTACAAATGTTGGTCAATGAATACAAGAAGAAGTGCAAATTGAAATGACATTGAGATTCCATCTCACCCTAATTGCAATGCCATCATCAAGAAAACAACAGCAGGGCCGGGAGAGTGACTCAAGTAGTAGAGCACCGAACTAGCAAGCTCGACACCCTGAGTTCAAACCCAGTACCACAAAGAAATTAATTAATTAAATTTAATTTAAAAAATAATGAAAATATTGACAAGAATGTGAGGAAAAGGAACCCTTGACATTGTTGTTGAGGATGTAAATTAGTACAGCTGCTGTGGAAAGCAGTATGGGGCTCCTTAAAAAAGAGAACTCCCGTATATATGATCCTGATATCATACAGTGGAAGGAGTGTACATCAACATACAAGAGAGATGCCAGCAAAGCCATCTTTTTAGCAGCACTAGTCACAAGAGCCAAACTTGTAATCAGCCTAGGTGTCCATCAACCAATGAATAGATAAAGACAATGTTGTATATTTACAAAATGGAGTATTACTCAGTCAGAAAGAAGAATGAAATTGCATCCTTTATAGGAAAATAGATGGCACTGGAGTTCATCATGTTGAATGAACTAAACCAGACTGAGATAGATACATACCCATGTTCTCTCTCCTATGCAGAATCTAGATTTTTTTAATTATGCAAATGTAAAACAGGGAATTCTGGGGAGTGGGAACCAGTGGGAAAGGGGAGGGTGAAAGAAGAGGACTAACAGGGTGGTGAATATGATTGAAATACTTCATATGCATGTATGAAAATAGAATAATGAAACCTGCTAAAAATTATTTCAAGGGGGAGGGGTAAGAAAGATTAATGGGGTGAGTTTGAGATGATAAACCATCACATTGAAATCCCTTTGTGCAATCAATATATGCTAATTTAAAATTTTTTAAAATAAAATAGTGCCTAGCAAGATAGCAAGCACTGAATAAATATTAGCTATTATTATTATTACCCTGTTTTGGCAGTATTAAGGTTTAACCACAGGGGTTCATGCTTGTTAGGCAGGCTTTCTTCTGCTTGAGCCAAGTCTCCAGCCCTAGTTACCTGGACATAGGGACTTGCTTTTTTTCCAGGCTGGCCTGGACTATGGTCCTCCTGTTTAAGGCACCATCCCCACCATAGCTGGGATGACGTTAGTATACCAGCATGCCTGACTTTTTCCCACTAAGATGGAGTCCTGTGAACATTTTGCCTAGAATTGCAAATTCCAGGGATGGCCTGGAATTGCAGTCCTCCCGATCTTAGCCTCCCAAGCTCTAGCACTCCAGGCACAACCCACTGGTGCCTGACATAGCTGTTGTTATTATCACTATAGACATTCTCTTAGCATTCAACTTGTGCATGAGAATTTCTTGGCCTAATGTCTAAATAATCTAGTCTTAAAAAACAAATTAAAAAGTCAAAAGCAAACTTCTGCTTTGCAATACCCATGAAAACACAAATTCCGGTATAAAAGGAAATTGGCTTTATAAGATCATTTAAAGTGTTTGATGTATGTGAACATTATATTCTTTTCTCTAAACTCTTACTGATTACTGAGTGACCTTAATAATATAGCAATTTGCTTTATGTAACTTTTTTTTAATTAGAGAAAAGCGTTTGCAGGAATGGAAAGCCCTGAAGAAAAAACAAAAATTTGGGGAATTAAGAGAAATTTCTGGAAATCAGTACGTGAATGAAGTCACAAATGCAGAAAAAGATTTGTGGGTTATAATTCATCTATACAGATCAAGGTAATTACCATAGTATTTCAAAATGCTAATGTACAGATATTCTAAAAGACCTTTCTGGTTTTAAGATTCTATAATGCAGGCTGGTGGAGTGGCTCAAACGGTAAGAGCACCTACCTAGCAAGCATGAGGTCCTGAGTTCAAATCCAGTGCTGCCAAAAAAACAAAGATTCTGTAATGCTTATAACAGAATATTCAAGAAAAAAGAAATGTGTGTGTTATACATAAATACATCTGTAGAGTTTTTGCTAGCCATTGGGTTTAGGGATTAAACTGGGTATTTAAAATAGCTTTGTCACTTACAGAACTTGTCACGTTTATTTTAAAACCTAAGTACTCTGTGGTAGTTGGTTAGACTTTTTTTTATTATTATGTCTGGTGAGTTGGCTACAATCACAGCTTCTCAGAAGGCAGGGATTGTGGTCCCAAGCCAGCCTGGGCAAATAGTTAGTGAGACCTCATCTCAATCAATAATCTGGGTGTGTCCATCATCCTAGCTAAATGGGAGACATGAGTAGGAGGTTTGTGGCATAGCTTGGACATGGACAAAAATGGGAGCTCCTATTTGAAAAATCAATAAAGCAAAAAAAAAAAAAAAGGCTATAGGAATGGCTCAAGCAGTAGAGTACCCGTCTAACAGAGTTCAAACCCCAGTACTGCTAAATTTTTTTGTTATGAAAATTTTCAAAAGTACAGAAAATTAGAATAATAAGGTAAATATTCTAAATATTCACCATATAGATTCAACAACGAACATTTTGCCATCTGTGTATGTATGTGTGTTTGTGTGTATGTTTATCTGCATTTGTGAAACATATTATCCACAGTGTGATGATATATTTCTAATTCCTTCAGCATATACCTTCAAAACATGGGGTGTCCCAAAGGAAGAAAAATCTTTGTTTTCCCCTCTACCTATCTTAGGTTCATGCCTGAGGCCTGCAAATTAGACTGTCAAAAGACAGATTAACAAGAAAAAAACAAGTACAAGTCTATTAAGGGAGAAGAACTTGGGAGTATCTGGAAGGGTGGTGAGAACTGGGCTTGTGAAGCATCTTAACAACAGAAGAGCAGATTTGTCAGCAAGTCACAAAATGGAGCTTGAGCTTGTAGGGGTAGCAAATGATGGAAAGGAGACTAATGGGGATTAAGGTTGTTTTAGGAAGGTTTGTTAGGAACATTGCTCTGGCACTTCTCTGGGCTGGTAAGAGTTGAGTTGTCCTCCCATGGTGAAGAATCATCCTGCCCTTCCTGACAGGGAGAGGGAGGGCAGAGAGTTTTTCTTGTGTTTCTTTTCCATTGCTTTCAGCTCAACATAATCCTTATGCCAGAATGGCATGTCTTGGGATGGCATACTCCCCTTCAAGAGTACTCTTCTGCATAATCACAATGGCATTTCCCATCTAACAAAATTAACAGTGATTCCTAATAGTGTCTAATACCTACTCCTTTTTCAAGTTTTTCCAACCACTTCAAAATACACTTAATAAATACATATACTTTTGAACTGCCAATCACAGATGAGGCAGTACATGCAGACATTTCATGTCTCTTAAGGACCCTTTAACAGGAAATCACCCTGCCCTGCCCTATTCCTCCAACAGTTAATCTTAGTACCCAGTCGTGCTGATTACAACCCATGCACCCCCAGGTCTCATCAACCTAGCACAGCAGTCACTGGGGAGACTGGACTTTTCCCCAAGTCTATTTCTTTCACTGAAGCTGTTCCCCCAGCTTCAGATCCCCATCCCTATGCCTCAGAGCTACAGAGGCTGTGACAGCAGCCATATTGGCTTCATTGTCCTTTTCTCAATTTCTGGATAATAAATTTCTTCTCTCATCAAGTTCTTAGAGAAATTCAGAGCAATTTATGCAAATTTCAATTCTGTAATTTATCAGCTCATCATTTTCTCAGTTAAATTTTGACAGAACAATATGCCCCATAAAAGAAAGCATTATTATTTTAATTAAAACTCATGGTAGATGATTTTTTTTCTTTGCTGGCACTGGGGCTTGAACTCGGGGCCTTGTACTTGTGAGGCAGGTGCTATACCACTTGAGCCATACCTCCAACAAAGTAGATGAATTTTAAGTACTTTTGAGGTCCTAAAAACAATCACCTTCCCATTTTACCTATGTCAATTATTTGGGGAAGCCAATTTGTAAATGCTGCTGGTAGTAGTTCTCACAAGTAAGGATGAGAAACACTGACATCAACAAAGCTAGGATCTGTTTGTAGTAAATGTTGTATACTGATGTGGTTCACTTCATGTCATTTCTGACCCTATGAGCAGCATAATAATGTTGTTTCTGGATGTTCATAAAGATGGTAAGAAAATAATTCACTTCAATTGTTATTTCTAGATAATTACCAATTTTAATAAGTAATTTTCAAACAATTCATTAAGGTTGAATGTGTTTAGTCTGCCTCAAATGTCACATACTTTGGTACTTTGGTATTCATATTCTCAAAGAGTAAGGATATGGTTTCTTTTTTGTTTTTATTTTTTTTTTATGAGACAGAGACTTGTTATGTAACCCAGGCTGGACTTGAACTCATGATCTTCCTTACTTGGCCTCTGAGTGCTAGGATTACAGGTGTGCACCACTATTCCTGACTTGGTTTTGTAGTATTGTAAGTATGTGTGACCTCCTCAGAACGATTTTGTTGTTGCTGTTGGTACCAATCTAAGACAGTTATATAAAATACTAGTTTTTTTGATAGTAAGAAAATATATTTGGGATTGGGTGGTGTAGCTCAGTGGTAAAGGGTTTGTCTAGCATGCACAAGGCCTTGAGTTCAATCCCCAGCACCACCAAGAAAGAAAAGAGAAGAAGAAAATAAAGTCACATACTGGTATATGACATATGTTTAAAGAACATAATGATAATCCAAATTTATAAAATGTATAATAGAAAATGATTGAGTTGCAAATATTGTTTAGAAAAGTGTAGTCTTTGTTTTGTTTTGTTGTGCTGGGGATTGAACCTAGGACCTTGTATATGTTAGGCAAGCACTCTACTACTAAACTATATCCCTATCCCAGAAAAGTCTCATTTTTAACAACGTATTTACTCATAACTTTTTAATATCATAAAGCAAAGTATAACTGTTAAATAATTTTATTTCGAGTTACCGTCTATAAATTTTATAGGGAAGTATGTTTAAACTAGATTTATAGAATTTGGCATACTTTCCATTCAAGTGAAAGCTTGGCCTCTCTAAGGTGTCTTGAGGGTGTCTAACTCAACCTGAGCCAGCCACAAGTCAGTTTTGTTTCTGGTTTTATTCAGTCTTATACCTGTGCCCATATTCTAACTTGGGGTAGTCATATTATTCCTATTTCCAGGTGCGTATTTAGAAACTTTTATGTTGTAAACAGAGCCTTAACTTATCTTCCTTAGCTGCTTTTTCTGTAGATTTGTATATTACCTCACCTAGAATTCAGAGGATTCTAAGAATTTGGTTGATGTTGAGGATGCAAAGGTGAATAAGGCAGCTGTCTCTGCTGTTACATTAATTTCAATATAGTAGAGGGAGACAAATTGTAGAGTCTTTTAGGTGCTATTTTTGCATAGAGTGCAGGTGCCGAACACAGGAGTAGTTAAATTCCACCTTCAAAGAAACATGGAAAGTTCTAAAGGGTAAGTTAATTCTTGATCTTAGCCTTAAAAAAAGGAAAGTTCCCCCAGGTTTGCAAAGTTGGAGGAAATAGGTAGGATGAATGGGTATTTTATGTGGAATAAGCAGCTTGAACAGAGTTCCAAAGTAAAAAACATCACGGTGCTTGGGGGACTTTAAGTAATTTGATCAGCCCCAAGCATATGGTGCTGGAGAGCTAGGCTGAGACCAGAGATGGAGACCCTTGAAGGACACCCTGAGAAGGCAGTGAGGAGTCGTTGAAGGTTTTTAAACTTTGGAGAAGGATGGAATCTCAGGGTTATCAAATAAGTTTTTCATGCTGAGCTTCCACTGTAAGTAGGTCAAGGATGAATCTGGGCAACCAATCTAGAAACAGATTTAGGGTAATCTAACAGACCTCACATAAGGAAGGAGTAAAGTAGTAGGTGAAGAGAGGAGAAGAGCACTATGATAGAAGGAAGTGGAATCAGTATGACTTGATTACTGATTTGACACGGCAGAAGAGAAATGTTTGACCTGAATGCTGACCTAATAAAATAAATGAGAATGATTGGATTTTTTTGGTGGGGAAGAAAGGGAGATGAAATTCATCAGCTGTTAGCAGGATGGTTAGGATTGTTCAGGGGATGTATCTGGAATGAGAACTAGGGTCCAGCATATAATCCTAAGGGAACATTTACAGTTGAGGTAGAGTCAGAAGAGGGAAGTCAGAGAGATTAAAAGGAAATTAATAGAAAGTATTGTCACAGAAGCCAAAAGAGGAGAGTATTTCAAGAATAATGATGAGCAAAACATAGAGACTTTTGTTTCTTTTTTCATTTGGGCTGTGACTAGAAGAGAGTGGTTATTAGAAAAGGACACAGAGTTGTCAGAGATTTTTTAAAAATTAAGATTTATTAGCAAGTGTGTTTAGATGAAGTGAGGAAGAGTATTTGGAGAAGGAAGGATGAGAAAACGGGAGAGGAGGCAAGCAGAGAGGTGTACTATCTGAACTGGAAGGGATGTGGAATTCAGGAAGGATAATGAGATTACACCTGAAATCATTTGGTGAAGCAACTGGGAGGAAAGGGAAGAATGGATATAATGGGATGATTGAGCAGGAAGAATTATAGAGGTTTTGCTTATACTTCCAATCAATTTACATTTTCCCATAAGAAGTAATTCTGGAGAATGGGGCCAGGATGTAGCATGGAATGGGATGCCAAAGAAGACTGTGGGTGAAGTTCATTAGTTAAGAAAGTCAGGGAAACCTGAGATGGTGAATTTTGGATGTGGGCTCATTATGTGAAATTAACTCATAATGGTGACAGAGTTTGGATCCCTTTATTTCAATTCAGAATTTGCAGACATTCCCTAGAAGTGTGCTATTGTTTGTTTGCTTTTTCTGTAACCTACCAACTAAACTGATGCTAAGGTGAACTGCAGTTTGTCTAAATTAGGCATCGGATTTCTATGATAGCTACTTCATTCTCAGGCTGTAGTGGTGTTTCCAGTAAAAGTCAGAGGACTTACGTACAGTTCATCTTTGCTAAAGGTAACAATAGAGGATGATAAGGATATGATATTATGTAGAAAGCTAAAGATATATTTTTATCCTGGGGATATTTTACTCATTTTATTAGACCGATGTGAGTACTCTGTTTTTAAAATATATTGTGTGTAATGTTTCTCTTTTTAGCATTCCAATGTGTTTATTGGTTAACCAGCATCTTAGTCTCCTAGCAAGAAAGTTTCCAGAAACTAAATTTGTTAAAGCCATCGTGAATAGCTGTATTCAACACTACCATGACAATTGTTTACCAACAATTTTTGCTTATAAAAATGGTCAGATAGAAGGCAAATTCATTGGAATTATAGAATGTGGAGGGATAAACCTCAAGTTAGAAGGTAATGATGTTATTTTAACAATTTGCTTATAAAGAATAACCAGTGAAAACTTCCACAGATTAACATGTATCATGAAAGTTTACTTCCTTGAAACAAAGTATTTTCCTTGAATGCCTCCAGATCAGTTTTCTTACAATGATATAATTTTATCCTAATACCCTTTGCTTAAAATTCCGCCCCCCCAACCCTTTTGCTTTTTATTATTTTTCAAATAGGGTGTTGCTTTTTTGCCTAGTCTGGACTGGGCTACAGTCCTCCTATTTATGCTTCTCGTGTAGCTGGAATGACAGGCACATGCCACCGTGCCCTGCTGTTTATTGGTTGAGATGGGGTCTCAGGAACTTTTTGGCTCATCTCTTCCTCCTGAGTAACTAGGATTATAGGTGCAAGTGACCACACCTGGCTAATCTTGACACTATTAAGTGTATAGTTCAGTAGCACCAAGGATGTTCATGTTGTGTTTCCATTACTACCATCCATCTCCAGAATTATCTTCATCTTGCATACCTGAACCTCTGGACCAATTAAACAATAATTTCTCATTCTGTCCTCCCTCCAGCCCCTGACAACCACCAATCTACTTTCCATCTCTATGAATTTGTCTACTCTAGGTGCCTCCTATAAGTACATCGTAGCTTATTTTGTCCTTTTGTGACTGATATCACTCAGCAAAAATTTTTTGTCAAGCAGATGGGCATGAAGTGGCATCTTCTTTTCTGAAGGTTCACCTTTGTTGTTATAGAAAGTATCAGAATTTCCTTCCTTTTGAAGTCTTAAATAATGTCCCACTCAAAACACCACATTTTGTGTATCCATTCATCTGTTGATGGACACTTAGATTGCTTTTATCTTTTGATTATTGTGAACAATGCTGCTGTAAATATGGGTGTACAAATAATCTGCTCAAGTTATTTTCAATAGTTCTGGGACTATATCCAGAAGTATAATTGCTAGATCATATGGCACTTCTGTTTTAATTTTTTAGGAACTATTTGGCCCATATTTTGTATTTTAGATTCTATATATCCAATAAAATATAAGGATTTATAGTATTGTAAATTTGAAACTATTCGGTAAATGGCACTACATTGTAGTGAAACTTGCTTTTAAAAACTCAGTAATGCTTTTCAGAATCTCTCGGCTGCTTCATATGTGTCTGGTTCAATAATTTTAAATCCTATGTGGCATTCTATCATCAGATGTATCTCAATTTATTTGTCATTCCCCTACTGACAGAAATGTGATTTTTTCCCCAGTTTTTCCATTGCAGATCATTCTGGTGTGTGTATCCTTGTGCCTGTCTGTGAGAGTCTTTCAAGGACGGAGAGGGAATTGTGAGCTCATAGGGCCTACACATTTTCAACTCCACTAGATAGTTGACAAATTCCTTCACAGTGGATAGTACCAATTTATCCTTCCATCAGCAATGTGTGAGAGTTCCCATTTCTCCCCCATCTTCTCCATGTTGAGTATTGCTATCCTAGTATTTATTTATTTATTTTTGTCAAGCTGATGGGTATGAAATGGGATCTCGTCAGTATTTAAATTTGGATTCGTAGTGGGGTAAACTTTTTTTTTAGCACATACTTGTCACTGTGATTTCTTCTAATTGTCTATATGCTTTGCCCATTTTTTGTTTTTATTCATCTATTTATAGAAGTGTGTGTGGGTAAAGTTCAGGCTAATACTTTTATAGTATCATTAATAGATTCTCACTAGTTGTGGCTTAGCATTTCATGTGTGTGTGTGTGTGTGTGTGTGTTGCTAGGGATCCAGCTCCGGACCTCTTGTGCTAGCCATTGATGTGATGTATACCTGCAACCTGGGTTTGCTGTTCTGGATACAGGGTCTGGCTACGTTGCCCAAACTGGTCGTGAACTCCTGGGCTCAAGCAATCCTCCTGCCTCAGACTTTCAAGTAGCTGGGACTACAGACATGCACATTGCATCAACTTCATTGTGATTGTCAGACAAAAGTTATAATATGGGCATAGTCAAAATTTTTCCTTGTTTTATACATTGCATACTTTTAAAAGCCCTTTTTGTATTTTCAGGGCAAGAAAGATATTTCCCTATATTTTTGCTTTCTTTTAATAGTCTTAAGTTTTTTTTTTCAATTTAGATCTTAAATAACATTGGTATGAGATACTATACATTTCTGTAAGAAAATGCAATTGTTACAACCCCATTTATTAACATCTTATTTAGCACTGATGTTTTGAAACCTATTTTTTAAATTGTGGTAAAATATACATGACAAACTTTATCATCATAACCACTTTTTTTCAGCTTGCTCAATTTATTTTGCACATTTGTTTTTCATTTCTTTATTTTTTGGCAGTACTGGGACTTTGAACTCAGGAATTCACACTTGGCAGGTAGTCACTCCACCACTTGAGTCATGCACCCAGCCCTTTTGCTTTCATTTTGTTTTTCAGATAGGGTCTCATGCTTTTGCCTGGTCTGGCTTTGGACCATGATTTTCCTACTTCTTCCTCCCAAGCATCTGCCTTGTTTTTTGAAGTAGGGTCTTCAAAAAACTAACTTTTTGCCCAGGCTAGCCACAAACTGCAAACCTCATCTTTACCTTCTAAGTGCTGGATTATAGCTATGTACCACCTTTCTCTCCTCCTTCCTTCCTCTCTTTCTTTCTTTCTTTCTATTTTGAGTCTTACTACATTGCTCAGACTGACCTGAAACTTGCAATCCTCTTGCTTCAACCTCCTACGTGCTGGGATTATAGGCATTGACCACCATCCCTGGCCATTTCCTTCCTCTTTAAGGACAACTAATACTACATTTTGTATTTATTTATTCATCTATAGATGGACACTATTGTAAATCATGTTGTGGTGCGTGAGTATATAAGCAGGAGTCCCTGTGTTCATTCTTCTGGGAATATACTCAGAAGGAGAATTTCTAGATTATATAGCAATTCTATTTTAAGTTTTCAAGAAACTTCCATCTTGTTTTCCATAGTAGCTACACCATTTTGCACTCTATCCAGCAGTGCACAAGGGTTCTAGCTTTTCTATACCCTTGCAAAAACTGGGGGTTTTTTGTGTTGTTTTTTCAATTTTTTGATCATTGCCATGCTAATGGGTGCAATCCACCATGTTTTCTGTACCATTTCAACATGCTTAATTTATTTCTGATATCTCTATTATGCTTTATTGATGTTTTTTTGTCTGTCCCTTGGTTAATATACTGCTATGTAATTACTGTGGCTTTATAGTAACCTAATTGTCTCTAGTGTTTTTCAGAATTTCATATAGGTCTGGATTGGTAGATTTTTATGAAAAATCCTATTGAATATTTATTAGAATTGATAGATACTATATTGTTTATTATATCTGTAGATAACTTCTAAAGTGACATTCTAATAACAAGTTTTGGGGTATATGAATGATATAACTTATCATTTACTTGGATCTCCTTTTATGTTTTTAAAATATCAGTTTCCTCAAGAAATGTTCTGTTCATCTATATAGTATTTAATTAATAAATTTAACAAAATGATGTATTTTCAGGAATAGGGGATTTCTGGATATCAACTTAAGTTTTTGGTCATTGGTATATTCAGGCTTGCTTTCTTGATGTATTTTGGTAATTCATATTTTTATTGAAATTCACTGAAGTTTTCAAATACATTGGCATATGTTTCTTCATAGTAGTCCCATGACTTTTAAAACACTGTAAGACTTTTGATCTTCATGAAATTTCCATTTACTCACATCTTTGCCAGAGATTGGTAATGTTAGAGTTGTCTTTTTGGTCAATCGGATGGTAAGAAATAGTATCTTGTCATTGTTTGGTTATATCCTATTCAATTTTTTACAATTTATTGTTTCTTCCCTTTTCTTGTGATAATTTTTGCTTGAAATGTGTCTATTTGTCTCTTTAAGAACCAGCTTTTGATTTTGCTGATCATCTCTATTGTTTTTTCTTTTCCACTTTTGTTCAGGTATTTTCTTCATTATATCCCTCTTTCTGCTTTCCTTGAATTTACTTTGTAGTTCTTTTCCTAGCTTCTTGATTTGAACTTCCACGCCATTTATTTTTAGTCACTTTAAAATAAGCATTTTGACCATAATTTCTTCCATTAAGTATAACTTTGTTGAACCTAGTGTCTATTCTGATATTGTAAAACTTTTATTGTCATTCAATTTTAAGTATCTCATTTCCACATTAATTTTATTAGAGTCAACTACAGATTTAGTCATCATACATATAAGAAATTCCTCCTTTCATTTTTCAAAGATTTTTATCCAGTTTAATGATGGGTTACTTATTGCAGAGCTTGAATGGAAGCTAGCAGAAGTTGGAGCAATACAGACTGATTTGGAAGAAAACCCCAAAAAAGGCATTGCAGATATGATGGTATCTTCAATTAGAAACACTTCTATTTATAATGACAGTGATAGTTCCAACAGTGATAATGATACCAAATAGAAATATTTAATAAATAGCTTTAAAGTGTACATATATATGCTGACTATTTTATTTATTACTGCCTTTATAATTAGAGATCAGAAATTTTATTTTTATTTTTGTGTTAGAATTATAGTTCATATGCTATTTCAAAAATTTTCAAGTATATCAGAATATTCACTGCCTCTGACAAACTGGAATTTCTACTAACTTTTTAATATTTTTCTGTGACTGATCCCTTTTCTCACCCATACAGGACAAAGCCACAGATATCACAAGTCCTCTGTGATGCTTACTAACTTAAAGAGAACTATGAAAGGAAATAATGAAAGAGAACCAAGAAATGTCATTTACTTTAAGTCAACACATTTTAAGCCTATTGTTTAGGGGTCTTGAGTTAGTTTTTAAATTTATGATCATATGTTTTTTTCTTTGAAATGTTTTACCTACAAAAAAATTGACCACTTATTAGCGTAATGCAACTTAAAGGTTCTGAATAGTGCTAAAGAAACATCCCCACTCATGATTGCTTTGAATAGTTCTGTTACTAAGTTAGAAAGTTACTAAGTAGCCTTGCTAATAAACTATTGAATAATTTATATGTAAAACTTTAAATCCTAAAAAGAGGTGAGAAAAAGATAGTGCTAACCTGTTTTAATAGTAATCACAAAAGAATTCATCATGGAAAAACATGGAATATTAGGACACTGCTGAAGCCCTGCAAGAAACCTCACCTTAGAATAATAATGCTCAAGACATATAGAGGAAAGGTTGGTAAATTCAGCACACACAGTTCATTAACGGATTTTACTATATTTGGCTTGTGTTGATAGCCCATAACTCTAATTATGGATGTTCAATGATGTTTGTGAGAGCACTGAGACTAACCTTAAATGGTTAGATCACAAAAATACGTTGGTGAAAATTGAGGCAGTGTAACATGGAGTGAGGAAAACACTTTTGTTGCTGTTGGTGAGGAAAGGGAGCTTAGATGCTGCAGAGAATCATGAAGGAGAAGAAAAAATTGAGGCAGATTGAGTCATGGTAATTTATTTTACCAGATAAAGTAAAATCATGTCAGAGAAACAATTACCTACTTAACACTGATCCAAATCCTAAACTCCTTAAGGAGTGGATGGATAAATTCCTACTCAGAACACAACATTGTTGAAATGAAAGGACCGTGTTATCATAGTTACCATGTAACACTAACGCCTTCCATTCATGTAAGTATGAACATTATTTTCCCTTCCTTTTAGTTGAAACCAAATGCAAAATGTCACCCTAAAGGTAGTATTTTTAAAAATAAATACATAAGTTATCCATTTTTTAAAGTTAAAATTAACAGGACAGATAAAAAGGTACACATTCCGCCATAATTCAGATCTGCCAAGAGGCAGAATTTTTATATGTAAGCACAGTCTGAAGACTTTTAACATAAAAAAATCATAAAATTATAGCATGTTAGAACTGGCTGGTTGTGATTCTGGCCTCACTCTTCCTCAAAATGCACACATGCACATTGGTCTAGAGAGAACTCATGCCTACAGTTTACTACTACTTACATAAACTGCTTAGTTTATACATTCTCATTTAAGGAGGCTATAGGTATTTGTTAGAATGTGGGAAAATAATCTAATACTTAATATTATTCTCCATTTTATTGAATGAATTTTTATTTCGTAGGTAGAAACTTAAGAGGTTTTATTTATTTATTTTTTTTTGAGACAAGGGCTCCATTCTGGCCTGGAACTCACTATCTAGCCCAGGTTCCTGCGTCAGCCTGCTGAGTGCTGAGATTACAAGCACAGGCACTGTAGCTTCCTAAGAGTTTCTAGTTGCCAATATTCAACCATTTTTAACCTACAAAAATGGATATTTACTATATTTCAATCTAATATGTTTTAATTATTCTTGCCAACTGTGTTCTACTCAAACAGTCCCTTCACTACTTAATATATAATGTCTTGTCAGTTTGGTCCTACAGTCATTCCTAGAGAACTTGTTAGAAATACCTTCTCTCTAGCCCTATCCCAGAGTAAGCTGGAATTTTCATTTTAATGAGACCCCAGCCAAGTGGCCTATGTATTACAATTTGAGAAGCACTGGGCAGCGAATTCCTAGTCTGCTTGAGTGTGTTCCTTAACTTTATCCCACACTCTGTATTATTAGATCTATCCAGCTTGACACTCCAGGTTCCCAAAGCCAAAAACATTCTAGGGCTGAACTAGTGATTCAGAGCACTATGGAGGTAGGGGGGTGGATTTTTTGGTTTTTTTCCTTGAATGGGGTTTGTTTTTAAGTAGTTAATTTTCTTTCCTCTCTGGATTCATCCTTCTGATGTTGGGGGCTGAGAGAAAGAATTAGTAATAAATTTTTCTTAACTGTAAAATCCATATTGCATGCAAATGTTCACTTTTTAGTGGTACATTGGGTTCTCCTGGAAACTCTCAGGTGACCTCCTACTGCACAGTTCCTTGCTCAACATGGGTGTCTGATGGTCTTGCCCTATCTCCGCTAATGTCTTAGCTCTCTCCCTGAGAAGCACACATGGCCTCTTGCTGCTAGAATCCTTTCCCCCAACCCTCAAGTATCAAGATGGTTCAGATCTGGTGGCCCTGTCTCACACAGCATTAATCAACCTACAAGATGTAGAAATGTCCACTTCCTCACCGTGCCAAATGGTGGGAATGCAGATTTACTTGAGAGCTCACTCCCTGGCCAGGTATTTATCTCCAAGTCTCTCTCCTGTTCAGGTAAGCACAAGGCAGTATCAACAAAACTGCTAGTGGACAGGGTTTCAGTCTCCCCTTCTTATAGTCACCTCCGGTTTCTCTACGTTATTCCACTGGAGTCTTATTAACTCGGGGTGGGACAGGGATGAGAAGGAAAGGAAATGCCAAGGTACCAGGAGCCTAAGAAGACATAGCTTCATTGATTCTTTTGTGTTCTTCCTCTTCCTAAGTGTTATGCTTCTGTGGCCTGAGAGAGTAGAGTTGAAGGTTTTGGCTATGAAAGGTCGTTTTGTCCTACTTTTAATCCTGGCTGAAGGAGTCAGACAACAAATATTGGTATTTAGAAGGTAAGAACTGATGTTCTTTGTTCCCTCCTTGGGACTTCACTCTGCATCTCTTGCAGGTGTTATCTGTATCTATCTATTACAGTGTTACATATTCTTGCTGGTCCTCAAGTACTCAGTTACTAGCACAGAACTAGTTCATCATATTTTCTTAATTAATTTCAGTTTACCTCTTCTTTGTACTTCATACACATTACTAAAGCTACCTTTTGACAATAATCTGCCTCAATAGTAATTTGAGATACAAATATCTTTTATCTAGCATTTTGCTTTTCCCTTTCATTTCATTCATTTAACCATTCATTCACCCCAGGCATTGGAATGGATGCTGTATACACAGTGAAACCCATGGTTTTTCCCTCCCAGAGTTCTGTCACGTGGTATTAGGGAAAATAGTTAATAAGAAAACAAACATTAAAAATATTATGAGGGAAATAGTGAACACAGTAAGAGAGAAAAACTGTGGGTATTGTGTAGGGGGCAAGTGAGAAGAAAACTTGAAACAGTATGGTTAGATCTTTTGAGACAAAAGGTTGAGGAGTCTGGCATGAGAAAATTTGATGGGGGAGGGGCGGGAGGATGCATGCAAGGCTACAGCATGTGCCAAAGTCTGAGAGGAGAGAGATGAGCAAGGAACTGAAAAGAAGTTTCTGGATGGGAGTGTTAAGGGAAGAGGAGCAAATGATAGGACATGAGGTTGGAGAACTAGGCAGGGGCCAGATCAAACAGTATTGTAGCCATGATTAAGAGTGTGGATGGAATGGGAAATGATGAAAGAGTTTTTAGAAGCAACATATGATTTCACTGATATTTTCAAAAGACTTTTCTTATTTCTCTTTGGAGGACAGACTGAATAGGGCATTCATGATACTTGAGACACACAAGAAGAGACGCTAAGTAGGTAATTGGAACCCAAAGGAAAGCTGGAGGCTGGAATTAAAGATTTTTGAGTCACTTTAATCATTTCTACATTCCAACAAAAATTGTAAAGATCTACAGCTGCCATTCTCACCCAAGCCACAGTTCTCTGAAATGCTTATTCTTTCAGCTTATAGATAAGTGCCCTAAAACTCAGAGGAATTATTTGACTTGCCATTGTGTCTCAGCTTTAGGAAATATTAGTAAGATTTAAGACTTGACTATGAAGCCCATAATACCACCCCATATTACTGCACTTCCTTCTATTTTAAATGGATGAGAAAGAATGAGTGATTAAATCATACATATTTCTTTTTTTTGAAAACTTACCTTATATTCCCTATTGTGTATAATCTTAAACCTATTTTCCAGTTCGCCCTAACCTGGTGGTAAAACTAGGGAAGTTAATGAAAGGATGGACAAGAGAGGTATTATGAAAAACATCGACACTATTTGTGATTGATGGAACATAGGGAGCTAGGGGAAGACTGACCAAAGGAGACAGGAGAATTACACAAAAATAATTACCACTTATAAAAAATGTTCATCACTTAAATGGGATTTCTTATGTACTAGGTACTGTTAACACACACACACACACACACACACACAATCTCCTTTCAATTACCATGAGATGGGACTATTATCCTCATTTTACTATTATTTTTTGGTGGTACTGGGGTTTGAACTCAGGGCCTCATGCTTGCTAGGCAGGTGCTCTACCACTTGAGCCACTCTGCTAGCTTCTATTATCCCCATTTTACAGATGAATAAATTAAAGAACAAGTGGGGGGAATTCAGTTGGAAGAAAAAAGTTAAAAATACTCAGTTTACAAAAAGGAGTAAACAGAATTATATGAGTTACATAAATCGTGTTTAATGAGATGGTTTGGGCTGGGGGAGAAAAATTTACGATCTGTAATCCATGAGGCAGGATTTTTGTTCCATGGAAACAGAATGTGGAAGATGGAAAAGTTGAGAAATAGATTTTTTTCTAGATTTTTCTCAGACCATTTGGACCGAGTGGAGAAAGGCTAGTTCTTCAAAGAAAATCACCAGAATAGGAAATGAATAGAGTAAGGAAGAAAGGAGAAGTTGCGAACCGAATCTTGGGAAATACTCAAGAGACAGAGGACTGAGCAGAAAAACTGAGGATTATCATCAGGCTTTTGTAAATAATTAAACAGAATGTGAGAGGGAGGAGTCAGAGATGAACACAGGTTTGATCCTGGTGACTAAGAGGACAACAAAACCATTAAAAAGGGCAAAGGTATATGTTCTAAAAGATGGGAGAATAAGGATAGATCACTGTTTCTAGAAAAAAAATCCAACATTCAAACATCCACACCAGGAAAAGCATTCACACACTCGTCTGGCTGCAGCCTACCTTGTAAGCATTATTGACCTTCCTTCCTCTCTTGCTAACTTTCAGTATTAGAATTCTCAATTGCATGTCACAGAAAACTTCTCACTGGTTTAAGCAATAAAACAAACACATGCAAGAATTTATTGATTAGCTTAACTGAAATATCCAGTGGAATCTATCCACATTGATTTCAGGGCAGGAAACCAATCTGCTCTCTGCCCCCCACCATGGTACTTTCCTTCTCATTATTCACGAATAGAAAGATGGCTCCAGGCCTCCATTCTTGCAGACTCAAATCCTTTGGAAAAGAGGTAACATCTTTCTTGGTAACCACAACCTAAGAGAGGGGATGGACTCAAATATGTTTTCCCTCTAGTATTCTACAGGACCATATGGACTGAGTGGAGAAAGGCTGGTATTTCAAAGAAAATCACCAGAATAGGAAATGAATGCGGAACAAGCAGAAATGTCTACTAAACCTCCTTCTAATGAACTATGATGTAATTAATCAGGCTTTCCCACTGCTCCCAGAAAAATCCTCAAGTGGAGCCAGGGAGCTGATTTAAGTTCCTCCTTTATAAAAAAACAAAACAAAAATTTTTTTTTGGAAACAATGTCTCGCTATGTAGCCCAGGCTGGCCTCCAACTCACTATCCTCCTGCCATACCCTCCTTTAGCTGGGATTGCAGGTGTGCACTATCACACCCGGTTAAGTTCCTCAGTTTTGATGCTCTTTTTTTTTTTTCTCTGAGCATACAGCAAGAATTTCACATACTTAAGATTTATGTTAACCTGGAAGGATCTTGGAGTCAAAACAGTGTTTTTGTTTTTGTTTTTTTAAGACAAGAAGATGCCTCTACTTCAAGTCCAAATTACTAGGAATTGGGGTTATAAAGACTTCCAGTAAAAGCACTAACCAAGGAACCAGTGCAAATAGAGTCCTTGTTCCTCCGCATTATAGTGTCATTAGGCTTTTAATAAAAGGTTGGGGGGAACTGCAAATGAGCAAATACAAGCCCGCAGCCGAGGGCACCTGCCCGGGGTCCCCAGGCACACCCACCACTAGGAAGCCACCCAAGCCGCGCTTCTCCAGGAGCCGGGGAGAGGGTGTCACAGGCTGTGCAGGCGCCTTCCTAATCTCCAGGAGAGACGTCCCTGCCAACACTGGAAAACCCTAGCCCTGCGTCAGCCAAGTGTTTTGCTTTGCGCGGGGAGCAGGGCCCCTTTTCTGGACTCGGGATCCCTCACTTGGCAGGGAACTCTTCCTTCTCTAGTCCTGGCGTCAGGGTGAAAGCCCAAGTCGCCGGGACCTAGAGCTAGCGCTCCCCGCCGCCGCACCCTCGGCCCGGCGGGGCCCCGCCTCCCCTGCTTTCCAGCAACCCGCGCCCTCGGGGCCGGCGGGACGAGCGGAGAAGAGGAAGCCGGGAGATCCCGGCTTCCCTGGGCGGCCCCGGGGCGCGAGGACGCTGGAGCGAGGAAGCAGTCTCGGGGGCGCCCGGAATCCTCTGGCGCGACCCCGTGTCACCTAACGGGGCAAGTCGCATGCGCGGCCAGACGCGCCGGAGAAGGCGAGCGCGAGGGGAGGGGCGAACGCCGCCGAGCCCGGCCGGCCGCGGTCCGGGGTCACGGACGGCGCATGCGCCGCGAGGGAGCGCAATCTCGGACGCGGCTTGCGGCTACCGGCTTGAGAAAGGAAACCCCGGACGGCGAGAGCGCGAAGGAAATCTGGCCGGCCCGCGTGCGCGCTCCCGGTGAGTGCGCCCCACCGGGTGGGCCCCGGTTTCACGGCCGACGGTTGGCTTGCCGCGGCGGCGCATGCGTGCTCCCGGGGCCGGTGGAGGAGGAGAAGGCAAGGGAGGGGGAGGCGGAGCGGGTGGCTGTAGCGGTGAATTTTGAGGGGTGGGGGGGGCGCCACTCGCAGCCCTAGGTGCTGTTGGCGCTGGGAGCCGCGCAGTGTCCTGGACGTAGCCGGTCAGTGGTTCCGAGTCCCCGCAGCCCGGAGTCCCGGGTGGGGGAGGGAGGAAGCCGGAGCCGCCGCCAGCCTCACGGTGAGGGTGAGGGCGCGGGCGAGGGGAGGGAGCGGGGGGCGGCGGCCAAGTGAGGGGAGGCGGGAGCTGAAGCCCAAGTTTGGCGTCTTGCTCTGGGTTGGATCTTCTCGGGAGTTGGGCGGAGGCCGGCGGGGGCTGAGGGGTCCTCCGGGACAGCTGGGGTTACCTGCGGGGCACGGGCGGGATCGGGGTGCACGGCGCGGCCCGGCGGCCGGGTGGGGGTGGGGGTTGCTGCCCGGGCTGCACCCGCTTCCAGCGGCTGGGCGGTCGCGACAGCTGGACCGGGTACCGAGAGGACTGTCGCCCGGGACCCGCTAGGCCTTGTGACCCACTTTATTCCTGTCACCACTTGGGCACGTTTGGAGCGGCGCCCAATGGGGCGCTGGGGCGGCCAGCTCCTCCGGGGAACCCCCGCCCTCGCGGCGCCGGCCCGCGCGCGGCGCTCCACGGTCCGAGCGGACGCCGCCGCCGCCCGAGGGCTGGTTCCGCTGGTGGTCGTGGTTCCGGGGCTCGGCCCCGGGGAGCGCGGTGCGTGGGGGACAGGCGTCCTGACAGACAGAGAACGCCATGCCAGTCGCCGTCTTAAAATGCAGCTCTGGATGTCTTCTTTTACAGTGCAAGAAAAGCACAAGAAGCAAAGTTTTACAGTGCCCTGCTCCCCGAAACCAAAGTACAGGTAATTCCGCATGAAGATTGCGCTCTGATTTGTCGCCCTCAGGGCTCCCAGGAGGAAATTGTGGAATACAGTTTCCCCGCACCTGCCTGAAAATACACGCTCTAAAAGATCGTGGTAATGGTTGCTTCTTCCTGAGACACATGCCTTGGGACACCTCAAGTGGGGTTTGTTTTAAAATCCTTGGGGAGGAAAGGAATTGGTGGGTTAAGTAGAATGGCATGGGAGGTTACTAGACATGTGGTGGGACGAGTCAGTACCAGCTGTGAAAGAGGAGGAAGCTTTTCCTGTGCCCACATGGAGGTGGGGGGTGGGGGTGGGAATCAGAAACCTGCCCTCAGAGAGGGCCTGGCAGCAAGGCGGACAGGTGTGAGGGCGCCTTTCACACCTGCTCTGCACCAAGAAGCTGGGAGATGTTGGAAAACTAGTAACGATGAGGAGGTGAGACTATATTATGGATTCATAAGCTAGACTAAGCAAAAATCCCCCTCCTCAAAATAATGTATGTGATATTGTTGCTTAATTTATGGTGAGTTTTGGTCATTTTCAACATGGTTTCTCAAAAGATTGAAAAACATAAGGTAAAACTAAAGAAACTTACAGGATACATTTCATGGCCGATTATACTTTAATTTTTAAGATGCTGAGGTCACACACAAGTGCAGTATATATTTTTTTTCTTTTGAGCCAGGGTATCCCTGTGTATCCCAGGCTGGCCTTAACTCAAGATCCTCTGCCTCATCCTCACAAGTTCTGTGATTACAGGGGTGCACAACCACACTGGGCTGACAAATTCAATTTTTAAAGGCAGTTACTTGAATAAAATGTTTTAATGATATTGCTTACATTTGGCATAATGATTGGATTATGCTGCTTTCATAGTGAAGTTCGTGTTCTCAATCTGTTTGCAGGAGTTATATATAATTGTATAAAACTTTATTTAGCCCTCAAAGTTTGAACACTCCATTACAATGATAATAAACTCGATTGTCTAGGATAGTATGCTTTTCAGATTGGGAAACTTCTTTTCCTTAAGGAAATCAAATATGAACCCTGGGGGAATGTAAATTCCTGTGTGTGTTGGGGGGGGAGGGGAGGGGAAAGGAAGGGGAGAGAGTGAGAAAGAATGAGAATGAATGGACAGTTTATTTCTTAGGAAAAATAGAACTAAAATGCAGATTTCTGTTGGTGTAAAAAAAACATTTTTATAAGTATGGATTGTAAGCATTATATGAATGATTTTTTTTTAGTGCTGCTAACCTAACTTTTTGGGGTTTTTTTTTTTTTTTTTTTGGCAGTACTGGGGTTTGAACTCAGGGCCTCATGTTTGCTATGCAGGCACTCTACCACTTGAGCCACTCTCCCATCCCTAGCCTAACCTTTTTATTGAGGTTAAAATTGAAAAGGGTGTTGTTAAGAGTAGTTAATTTTAGGAAGGTCGTGCTCAAACTCCCTGTGGTGATCAATAGAGTGTAATCAAAGTAGTTAATAGTGGGTAATAGTTGCTGTAGGCATTTTTGTTAATGTTACCAGTATTCCATATTATGTATAAATATTCTAGGATATAAATATTCTACACACTCTTTGATGTGTAAGTGTGTAGTAGCCACTCTCGTGCGAAATGGCATTTATTTTTCATTTGAACTCCATGTATGTTGATCTTCCCAATCTTCCTCACAAATGGAATTACGTTTCAAATTTTTATTGTGGATTTTATTTTTGAAGTTACAGAAATAAAGTGGTACTCTCGAGAAGTTTAGGGAGTACAGTCTATTTTTACCAAGTGAAAACCCTCCTTAAATATTTCTATTTGTATTGCACATGTCTCCCTGGTCATAACCACTGTTAATACTGGGTGTATATCATTTTAGATTTTTGTGCATTTACAAATGTGTTCCTTTCAGTCTTGAAAATTGAATTGTAGGGTTTTGTTGTCTTTTAGACAGTGTCTTGCCATGTAGCTGAGGCTGGCCTCAAACTCAAATTGTCCGCCCAGCCTCCCCTTGGCTTGTTTTATAGGCAGGTACTACCACGCCTGACTCGTTGTATTCTTGAATGATTGCTTCTCCAGCTTTTTCACTTCCAACAGGCAAGGGAAGCGACTTGGAGTATATCAGAAAGTTTAATGTGATAGACACCTTAGGAAGTAGTCATCTTTTTCACTAGCGATGGGCTAGTTGGTGTGGAGGTATTTACACTTGGCAGGGAAGTGAAACTGATGTGAAGTTTATCTGGGATTAAAGACTTAGATTCCATGATTTTTATATAGGACTCTTTGGTGCCCAGTTTTTAGGATCTTTGGCTTTAAGGGGAGAACTCTTTGGTTGAGTTTATGCTCAACTGATCACAAATAGTATACATCTCTCCAACTTCCCCAGAGTACTACCTTTCTAATAGTTTCAGACAGTTGTTATTGATTTGTTTTTTAAAACAAGCTACAAACAGTGTCCAAGTCTTAATTCTTTTAGGTGATAGAGTTTGCAGAAAATTCAAGTATTAGGACTGTTTATGGTTATGTAGGATATCTAGAAATATGCAGGCTGGGCATGTAGCTCAGTGGTAGAGTGCTTGTCTAGCATGCCCAAGGCCCTGTGTTCTATCCCCAGCACAACACCCTCCGCCCTCAAAAAAATCCCAAAATTTTTACATGAATGGTATGTGCACGCATATCTGTATGCATGTAAGATGTCAGTAAAGTTTTAAACATTAAATACTTGCAAAAAAATCCTTTAGAAAAGATGCAGTGCAATTCACTGCTGTAAGCTTGAGTTCAGTGTTTGAACTCTTAATACATATGCTTATAATAATTATAATACAAGATAGGAAATGACAGATTTTATTGCCTTTTTTTTTTTCTCCTGGTAATGAGGGCCCTGCACATCCTCGCTAGTGCTCTACAACTGAGCTACAACCATAGCCAAGAAATGACAGATTTTAGAAGAAAAAATAAAAGTTTAAAAGGGTGAGGCTACTTCCAGCATGTTGTTTTGTGGGTATTTTGTGTGTTTTGAGAACAAATGTGAATCCCAGTCTTTTAATTAGTTAAAGAAAGAACAAATAATCTTTGAAAAAGTCAAATCTTTGCTTTAATGTTAAAGGATTAAGTTGAATTCTTTTAGTGGGTATCTATGGGACTGATGACTATTTTAATTTTTTTTTTTGAAGCTTTGCCATTGGAAAGAGCCATTTGCTGTTTTGATACTTATACAACAGCCTGTAATCTTTAGATTTTGGGATTGTTGGAAATATATTAGGAAGTTTAATTCTATGCGTTAACTATTGTCTACCATCAAATATGTATTAAAAGGATGTTGTTCCTTCCTATCTCAGTTTTTTTCCTCCAAGAGACATACTTAGTGTCATTTATCCCTCACATTTTTATTTCTGGTGCAGTATCAAATGTTTATTTGCTGTGAATATTTCATTTAATTAAATTTCTCCCCATGTTGGGAGAAAAACCCTGATTCCACACTGTAGGAGAATCTTTTATTTTTTTGGGTGTCTATTTTCTTATAGTACTTTGCAGATGCATAAAGTACAATACTTTTTGAAGTGTAGTTTCTTGTAGCTATTATACCTTGGACATTACCTCTTCTTTACTGAGTCTGAAATATTGAATGAAGTTGTATGACTTGAATAGCACTTTTAAGTGTCAGAGCAGTTTAATCTTATTGATTGTTTAATTATATAACACAGTTATAGATTGCTTTACAGCCATTTGTTAATAGCCTGTAAGGTGTAATTTTCATGAATTAAGTGAATATGTTTTCTTCTCCATGTTTTTGATTATGCAAATGCTACGTTACCTAAACTCATTCTTAGAAACATAGTTTCAACTTTGAGTTTCTGTTTCAGTCATATATTTCTCAAAGAAATAATTGTGATTGTTGTTGCTGTTATTACTACTTTGGGCAATATTGAGGTTTGAACTCAGGGTCTTGTGCTAGCAAAGCAGATACTCTTGAGATTGAGCTGAATCCCTAGCCCTTTTTTTTCTTTAGTTATTTTTTGGGTAGGGTCTCCCATTTTTATGCCCCATTGTGCCTGTTTATGTTTCCCATATAGTTGGGCTGACAGGGTGGAGTGCTATCATGCCTAGTTTTTAAATTTTGGTTTTTTTTAATTTGAAGCCTGGAAATCTAAGAGAGAAATCACTTGTAAAAGTGAATGCTTTGAATTGCACTTGATTTTTATACCATGCTGTTTTGGATAAGATTGTTTATCTTTCTGAAACATTTTATTTCTACATTAAGAAGATCAAATATTAAAACAAAAAAACCCACACTTTTTCAAAAATTTTATATTTAGTCAGATACCTATATTTTAAGTTGCATGCATCACAAATATTGGAAAATGGAGATATAAGTTGATTTTTTAAAAAATTGTTGTTGTTTTTATTTTGAGACAGGTCTCACTATGTAGCCCAGGCTGGTATTGAAATGATTTTGTAGCTGAGGCTGGCCTTGAACTCTCATTCCTCCTGCCCTGCTCAGTCTCCTCAAGTGCTGGCATTATAGTTGCATGATGCCATACCTTGTTTCAAGTTACAGGCTTGTGATGTATCCGTCCGCTGTAGTGCAAGCTCTCCTGCTCACTTAACAGCAGATCCTCAACACATTTTCATGGAGTTTTTCTTACAGCAAGTGATTATTTTTAATAGCTACGTAGTGTTCTCACCTGTTTTTGTAGTAATCTATTCACCACTGTTTTTCTGTTGTTTGCATAAATTTTTATTTTTAAAATAATGATCAGGTGGATTTGAAACTTGAAAAAAAAATTGATAGTTTTCAAAAGAAGTAGACTTCAAATAAGATGGTGCTGAGTTTTTGTTGATAACTATAACCAAATTAAGCAGGAACTTAGTGCATTTTGTTGAAGACATGCTGTAAGCGTATAGTTATCTAATCATGATCCATCATAATGAAGTTAATCCAAGATTTTTGTAATGGCATATTTTCTTTTTAAAGTATGTTTTACTTTGAATTGTATTAAGCTGACTTCTG